AAATCATTACCATTGACATCAATAATGAATTAGAAACTATGGCCAACTCCTACTTCAAAAAATCTGGTTTTGCGGATCAAATAGACATGAAAATTGGAAATGCCTTAGAAATCATCCCCACACTTGACATGAAATTTGATTTGGTTTTTATCGATGCTGACAAACACAATTACTCCAACTATTACGATTTGGTTATCGATAAAGTTAATTCCGGTGGTTTCATCATTGCTGATAACGTTTTATGGAGTGGAAAAATCATTACTGAAGACGTAAAGAATGATACGGATACCAAGGCCTTAGATGAATATAATAAAAAAATAAATTCTGATTCTAGGGTTGAAAATTTATTGCTACCCGTAAGAGATGGTCTAATGGTAGCTAGAAAATTGTAATAAAAAAGTAAGAAATCTATTAGGTTTACGACAGTCATACCATAAATTTGAATTTCAAATAATCCTATGCAAAATACCCACCAAGAAGTACAAGAATACTACGGAACCGAATTACAAAAATCTGAAGACTTAAAAACCAATGCATGTTGCACTTTAGTTAAGCCTCCTAAGCATATTTTAGATGCTCTCAACCTAGTAGCCCCTGAGGTACAGGCAAAGTACTACGGATGTGGATTGACTCTCCCATCTGGTGTGGAAGGCTTAAGAATTTTAGACCTTGGGTCTGGAAGTGGAAGGGATTGTTACATTGCAAGTAAGCTAGTTGGAGAACATGGCCATGTAATTGGAATAGACATGACTGATGAGCAACTGAAAGTTGCTACCGATCACCTTGAATACCACAGAGAAAAATTTGGCTATGCTAAATCTAACGTGGAGTTTCTTAAGGGGAATATTGAAAAATTAGACGAACTTAACTTAGAAAAAGGTTCATTTGACGTCATCATTTCTAACTGTGTCATCAACCTAGCTACTGATAAGGATAAAGTATTGAAAGATGCCTATGAATTATTAAAACCAGGGGGAGAAATGTATTTCTCAGATGTATACAGCGACCGAAGAATTCCTCAACACTTACAAGAAAACAAAGTTTTATGGGGGGAATGTTTAAGTGGAGCCTTATATTGGAATGATTTCCTAAGAACAGCTAAGAAGGCTGGATTTACTGATCCTAGAGCTATGGATGACAGACCTATTACTATTGAAAATGAAGAAGTAGAAGAGTTGGTTGGAGATATTAAATTCTACTCCGTAACCTATCGATTATGGAAACTTGATGGATTAGAATCAGATTGTGAAGACTATGGACAAGCTGTAGCATACAAAGGAGGAGTTCCTGAAGAAAAACTAGCTTTTAAACTGGATGATCATCATTACTTTCCTAAAGGAAAAATAATGACTGTATGCGGTAATACCTACAATATGTTAAACGATACTCGTTTCAAAAAATATTTCGATTTTTATGGGACGTGGGATACTCACTTTGGTATTTTTGAGGGCTGTGGAGGAAACATCCCTTTTTCCACTAACGAAAATGGAGAAGCTGCTAGTTGCTGTTAGCCTTAATTTGTGGTGAATATAAACGAGATGGTATAAGCAAAATTGTCTTTTAATTCAGGTAAGTGATAAGCACCATATCGGTAGTTAATCCCCCCTCCTAACCCAAGATAGGCTACATTAAAATAATTTATTCTTACTATATTATCTATTTGCAATCCCGATTCAATAAATCCTTTTTCCATCGTTTGAATATCAATACTACTATGTTCCTTAGCGTTAGATAGAGTTCCGATTCCTATATGTTGATGAACAGTAAATTGAGGCTTGAACTTTTTTGTTTTTAGCAATAAAGAACCGAAATTATGAGCATAATGAAAAACAGCATATTGATCCATCACAAATTCATAAGGACTTACTGTCTGAAAAGAATTTCTTATATACACTGAATAGTCTCCTACTCTACTCCCAAAACCAGAAAACTGCATATTATAAGGCAACGGTTTATCAACCATTCCCCCTTGTAACCTAACACTAGATTGTCCTAAATTTTTAAAAAAGTGAGAAGCCTCTATTCGAGCTTCTACTCTGTTGTAGTCAAATTCACTCCCTCTGAATCCTTTAAAACCTCTCGAATATGCGATGGATAAAACGGGATAAGTTGTACCCAGACTCAATCTTTGATTAAAATTTTCTACTAACCTTTCTTTATAAGCATACTTTAAAAATATCCCTACCTCACTGTTGGTCTTAAATGTGGATTGTAAACTTTCTCCTTTATACAGATAAGCATACCTAGGCGAGAATTGTAAATTAGTCACTGAAAGGTTAAATTTCGCATATCTCAAAGCCCTGAAGCTTAAAGAAACCGATTGACTTCTTATTCTGTCTTTTTGAAAACCAATGTATGTATTTGCCTGAAAATTAGTGGTTCCAAACTGATTTAAATCAGTTTGAGAAGTTTCTTCAATCGTGTTTTTATACTCCCCTTTTAGTTCTACCTCATGTGCTTTATTGAGAAATACAGTTAAATCCCCTCCATATTTCCATTCCTTATCTTTAAGCCCATACCCAAAAAAACCACCTACAGAAAAGTATTTGGAAATCTTATCGTTTGTACTAAGCCCTAATCCTAATCTAAATCCCTCATAATTATTACTCATAAGTGATTTAGCTAAATTTATATCAACAAATTTAACTGGGATTTTACCAGCGACAATTTTTTCTATGACTCCTAACTTATTATCAAACTCATAAGCTTCTCCTATACTATCAATAATACGATAGGTCTTCTTCTCCCTCTTAGTTAATGGTGTTTTCCTTACTCCATCCCAATAAGTTGAATCCTTATCGTTAGCTCCATTTTCTATTTTTAAATTAACTAAGGAAATATCGCGTTTTGAAAGGTTGGGTTCCAGCACAACACTATCAATGAAGGCCTCTCCATTAAGGGTTGTCCCCAATCCTTCCTCTGGATAATTTTCAATAATTAATTGATAATTCAACTGTTCTGGAAACCATTGTTTTTGATTAACAAAGCTATACTTCTGCTGAATTTTCATACTGATGAAAGCCTTTTCAAACGGTTCTGCAATCACATTTTGAATGGCATACATGTTTGTATTAATATATAACAGGCCTGTCAATCCATCAAAATTTTTGCCTTTTTTAGGCTTAAATGATAAAATAAAAGTAGTATCCGTAGCATTCAAAATGGTATCCTCTATTCTGAAATCATACTTTGACAAACTCCCTTTGCTAATGGGATTCAAATAATTCTTATCAAGTATTTTCAATGTATTCTTATAAAAACCGAACGGTTGAAACTGAGTAACAATACTTGAAAAACTTGGAGATTTAAATCCCGACACTTTATTGGCAATAATAATTTCTTCCTTAAGATTAGGTCTTATATACTTATGTCTGGCTACAGACTCAATAAACAAGAGATAGACCCCTCCAAATAACATAGTAGAATCGGCAATAGTAGAATCACCTATGTTGACTATACTATCCAAACCATAATTCGTTTTATTGTAAGAAAGGTATTGAAATGAGGATAATTTTTCTGGGTTATTGAGTTTTCTATTTTGAATTACTCTTCTGATGATCCTATTCGCAGGATTTTCTCCTGGAATCACTTTAAATTCTTTTAACAAGATATCCTTGGGTTCTAATTCAATTTGGATGTAAGAAGAGGTAATCGGGACTACCTTACTTTTATAGCCTACATATTTACATTCCATTGAAGTGACTTCCCCTTTTGGTCTGATAGAAAAAGTTCCATCAATATTAGAAGTAAATACTTCTCCAGTATTCAAAATTATGTTAACAAAAGCGAGAGGTTCATGTGTAACTTTATTCGTTATTTTTCCTCTAATTCTATTCTGAGAAAGCAATGAAGTTGAAAGAAAGAATAAAATCAGAAGTGAATAATGTTTCATGAATTAAATTTCGTAAAAAAATTAACGAATATTTAACAAAAATAGTGCCATATTAAACAAATTAATTTGTTTTTGGGGTTGGTTTATCCATGTTATTACCTTTTTCTAACTCGGTAACAATTCTAGATACAGCCGGACAAACTTCAGTGTTTCTGTAGGTTAAATCTAAAATTTGGTGCATATTTTTTCTATCTGTATGGGGATATTCTGAACAAGCAACAGGCCTAAAATCATAAATGCCGCAAGTATTATCTTCAACATCCAAAAAAGGACAAGGAGTTACTTGGAGTACATAATCTCCATCACTATCTAGTTGCAAATAGAATTCAATAAATTTTACCGCCTTCATTTTTAGCTTTTTGGAAATCCTCTTGATGTCTATTTCTCTAAAAATAGGACTGGTAGTTTTACAGCAATTACCACATTTTAAACAATCCATTTCTTCGAAAACCTCTTCGTGTTTAACATGAAACATATCATCTAATTTCTTAGGCTTCTTATTTTTTAACTTGGTGATAAATTTTTTGTTTTTATCCTTAGTTTGTTTAGGTACATCCAGCCATTTTTGATATTCCATTGTGATTTGAGATTCTTGATTAAGATTCCTTAAAAGTACTAAAACTTATTGGTTAAGAAATTGAGTAAAACTCGTGCAAATTTCAAAATTTTTATACCTTAGCTAAGATTATCAAAACCAATTTGGTGAAACTCGTTAAGCCAAATTAAACAATATACAGTGGAAGAAAGTTCGACTAAACAATTTGACGTTTGTATTATAGGAGGAGGACCAGCAGGATATGCTGCTGCAATGAGAGCCGTAGATTTTGGAAAATCAGTTGTTCTCATTGAAAAAAACAAGTTAGGAGGAGCAGGAATATATAACGGAGCCCTCACCTCAAAAACTATGTGGGAGCTATCTAGAAAAGTAGATACCATTAATTCTTCTCTCTACTCTGCTGGAAGAAGACAATTAGAGGTGACTTGGGATGACGTTCAAAAAACCATAAAAGACGCTATTTTCGAGAGAAAATTTCAGTATTCCTCTCACGTCAAAATGCTTGACACCAAACTAAAAGGAAAATTCGTTTACGAGAAAGGAACGGCTAAAATGATTTCTAATCATGAGGTTGAAATCAAACGAAAAGACGATACGGAGACAACTATCTATGCCCAAAATATCATTATAGCTACTGGAAGCAGACCTAGGACCATTCCTAATATTGATGTAGATGAAAAAATCATTATGACTAGTGATGGTATTCATCACATGGAATCTTTTCCTAAGAGTTTAGTAATTATTGGAGCTGGAGTTATTGGTTGTGAGTATGCTACTATGTTTTCTAGTTTTAACAAAACAAAAGTTTACCTCATTGATAAGGCCGATCACATTCTTCCATTTGAAGATAGAGATGTCTCATCGTTAGTGGAAAATAATTTGAAAAAAAATGGAGTAACCATTCATAACAAAGCGAATCTAGAACGACTTGAAAAAATTGATGGGGAAGTAGAATACGAATTAGCATACGCTGACGGGAGAAAAGAAGTTATCCGAGTAGAAAAAGCATTATTATCTATTGGTAGAGTACCTAATGTAGAACAAATTGGTATGGAGAATGCTGGAGTGTTAATGAGCAAACGAGGGCGACACATTGGAGATGATGACACTCAGACTAATATTCCTAATATATATGCTGTAGGAGATGTATCTGGAAATATCTCTTTAGTCAATGTAGGTGAACTTGAAGCCAGACATTGTATTGAGAAAATGTTCATGGAAGAACAACCTGAGCGTATATCTTACGACAATATTAGTAATATAATGTTCTTAGACCCAGAAGTTGCTGCTGTAGGAATGAACGAAAAGCAATGTGCTGAACAAAATATTCCTATCAAAGTGGTAAAAATAGATTTCTCTTGCATTGCAAGGGCCATAGCCATGCGTAAAACTGAAGGTTTTTTTAAAATCATTGTCACCAATGATAAAGAAATGAAAATATTAGGAATGAGAGCTATTGGTGAACATGCATCTAGTGCAATTCAGGCAGTTGCTCTATTAATAAAAATGGATAAAGGGATAGAAGAACTTGCTGAACTTATTCACCCACATCCTTCTATTATTGAAGGGATTCAAGAATGTGTGAGAATGTTGCTCAACAAATCCGTATTTAAATCTTCCATCTTTAAAGATAAACTTAAGTGTTACAGTTGTGTAGATGGAGTCTGCACACCCCTTCAAAGACTATAATAGTTTTTGGCTTAGTTTTTGATTTTAAATTTAAAAATCAAATGTGATGAATAAGAAGTTAATTCCATATTTCACTGTACTGACAATCATAATCTGTGCTGGGTTGTTTTATTCTTTCAATTCCACTTCTCCTAAGAAAAAACTAAAATACAGACTAGGTTTTAGTATAAACCCATCTGCTAGTTCAAGTGTAGTTACTTTTGTTATTTTGGGAATGGATTCTTCTACCAATGAAATTATCAATAAGAAACCTATCACGGAAGGACAATTTGTGATGTATAGTAAAGGGATTTTAAAATGTGAAGCAAATCCCAAGAAAATAGATTTTTTCAAAAAAGTAGGCGTGGATTGTGGATTAATTATTGATGATCCAAAAAGCATTGGAGGAGTTCTTGTCGCAGATACACTCTGGGAAGAAATGAAACCCATTTGCCTCCCTGTTTGGGACATTTGGAAATTACGTTATTCAATTCATCCACAATATGGAGCCGGAGCTTCTACTGTCCCAGAAGAAGATCGAGGCTGGGCAGCTAATAGATGGAGACCTAGCTATAAACAAACCCTCTATTTACAGAAATACGGCATTAAACAAATTCAAGATTATTTTTACGGAAAAAAAATGTATGACTTATTTAAAGACATGCAAAATCCTGACTGGATAACGATGTATAAGGAATTAAATTAATGCTTACTTACATAAACAGCCTCTCCTCCTAAATAAGTAGAAATAACTTTAGCTTCCAGAATTTCTTCATGAGATACTTTCATAATATCCCTAGACAATATTACAAAATCAGCTACTTTCCCTACCTCTAAACTTCCTTTTTTCTCATATTCATTAGTAGCCATTGCGTTCCAAAAAGTAATTCCCTTTAGAGCCTCTTCCCTAGTTAATACTTCAGTGTTCTTAATCTCTTTAGTCGTAAAATTAGACTCTAACCTAGTAATAGCATGGTAAAATGTTTGAATGGGATTATTACTTGCGACCGGGTAATCTGATCCTAATGCTAATATTCCATTTTCATTAAGAAGACTTTTCCACCTATAAGAATTCAAAAGTTGATTAGGGTCCAATTTTTGAAGAACCATTTCATAATCGTCCTTTAAATGGGAAGGCTGAACAGAAGCCAAAATAGAGTGGCGAGAAAAGAGATTCAGTTCAGAGGAATCCACGCATTGAGCATGTTCAATTCTCCAAGCCAAACCATTTCCTCCCTGCAAAATTTGACCCATTTCTTCTAACGCAACTTTCACCGCTGAGTCCCCGATACAATGAACCGCCAATTGAAATCCTTTATCATAAGCTAACTGAGCTATTTTCCTTAAGCTGTCTCTAGTCATCAATAACTTACCAAATGAATCAGTTCCTTGATAGGGCTTTTTAAAACAAGCAGTTTGTGAACCTACACTTCCATCAAGCACTACCTTATAAGTATTCAATTGTAACTTATCCGTATGAATGCTCTTCATTGTTGAAGCTTTTTTAGAAAAATAAAGCATTGCGTGTATTCGGATTAACAGTGTATTCGCATTATGCATCTTGTTAATTAACTCAACTTCAGAAACTGTCAATCCTGCGTCCGACAAAGAAGTGATTCCCTTAGAAAAGAAAATTTCTTGAGACTGACGTAAAGCATTTTTTTTCTGTTTTTTTGTATAATTAATTGCCTCAACAAACAACGGAATTTGTTCTTCAGACACAATCCCATTTACAATGGGAATTGGAGGATTTACTAATGTAATTGCTTTTTCATTCACTAACAGACTATGACCATCTACCCTCCAAAGTAAAATGGGAATTTCCCTAAAGGTTTGGTTTAATAACTCTACTGATAGAGCTGGCTCAAGCCAATTATTTTCATTCCAACCATACCCTACTATCCAATCAATTTTCTCATTTTTTTTCTGCTTTTCAAGCAACTTTATTAACTCCTCCATCGATTTCACTCCACTCAAATCTGTAGCGAGTCCATTTAGACCGCTTCCTAAAAAATGACAATGACCATCTATGAACCCAGGATATATAGGGTGAGTTTTAGCATCAATTATGTGGCTAGGTCGATATTTGTTCATGATTTCATGCTCTTTTCCTATAGCTACAATAACCCCATCATTAATAGCCATTGCTTGCGCTACTTCAAATGTCTCATTAACGGTATAAATCCGAGCATTATGGACAATCAAATCAGCTGTTTTATATTTGACACATGAAGTAACTATCCCTATACCAATTAGAGCAATGCACTTAACTTTCAACCTACTTATTTGGAACATGTTCTTTAAAAAATTTGACAGAGCAAATTACAAATTAGGAACGAGTTTATAGGTATGATTACCTAAAATAATCTTGATTCTATTTTAAGCCCTTGATCTATTTCAATGAAAAAAATAGTATTTTTGTTTCTGAATCAATTAAGCTGAAAAACTCCTGTGATTTTATCCAAAATTTCTTTTTTAAACTTTAAAAACTATCACCAAATTGAGGTAGAAGTTTCTCCTTATGTCAATTGTTTTTTAGGTAAAAATGGGATGGGTAAAACCAATCTATTAGATGGTATCTACTACTTATCTAATTGCAAGAGTTTTTTTAATTCTGTTGATTCTCAAAACATCAAAAATCAAGAAGATTTTTTTGTGCTTCAAGGAGAGTTTAAAAATAATGAAAGTGTAGAGTCTATCTATTGTGGGGTAAAAAGAGGAAAGAAAAAAGTGTTTAAAAAAGGGAAGAAAGAGTACGAGAAACTCTCTGATCATATTGGACTTATTAATACTGTGCTTATTTCCCCTATGGACATTAACCTAATTTATGACGGAAGTGAAACACGAAGGAAATTCATTGATTTAATTATTTCTCAGTACGACAAAAATTATTTAAGGACTCTCATTCAATATAATAAAGTATTAAATCATCGTAATGCCTACTTAAAAAGCCTCCAGCAAGGAACGAAATTTGATGCTTTATCGCTAGAAATATGGAACGAGCAGTTAATCGAGCATGGAGAGGTCATTCATAAAAAAAGAACTGAGTTTATCCATGAATTTGAACAAGTTTTTGATGAAATCTACCACATAATTTCTGGAGGTAATGAAAGTACTAAACTCTCTTACATTTCTCAGTTAGAAGAAGGGGCACTCCAAGAATTATTAACCCAGAGTTTAACCAAAGAAAGACACATTGGGTACACAACAAAAGGGATTCACAAAGATGATTTTAGCTTTAAAATAGAAGATAAATCTTTAAAGAAATTTGGATCACAGGGACAGCAAAAGACTTTCTTAATTGCTCTTAAGCTTGCTCAATTTAAACACATTGAATCCAAAACTGATTCGAAACCTATTTTGTTATTAGACGACATTTACGACAAATTAGACGAAGAAAGAATCTCCCATCTGATGGAACAAATTTGCATGGGGACATATGGACAAGTTTTCATTACTGACACCCATACTTCTAGATTACCCGCTTTTTTTAAGGAAAAAAACTACGAATGTTTTTCCTTTGAAATAGACAAAGGAGAATTACGTTTGTAACGTATAAAAATGACTATATTTTGAACTTATGTTATTAGACAAAGTCTTATATTTACCTAAATTATTTTGATTCATGAAAAAAACTATTGTTATCTTCCTCACTATAAATTATCTTCTGTTTTCATGTTCTAGTGGATCCTCCACTGAAACTAGTAACGAAACTCAAACAGAGCAACGGGAAAATCAAGTAAACATTGAATTACTTTCCGATAGAGAATTATTCTTTCATATGGAAGAATTAGAAAAAAAATTAATTGACCAGGAAAGCTTAGAATTGAGCAAAGAATATTCAATTAAGATGTTGGAATCTGCTCAGAAACACATAGAGAAATTTCCTGAAAGTCAATACCGAAGAGAAGCAATAAGAAAGGGATCAAGAGCAGCTCAAGGATTACAACAAGATTTTGAAGCTATCCGATTAATTGACATTGCGATTAAAGAAAATTCTTCCGATTCTACTGTCATTGATGAAATGAATGTGAGGGCCTATTTATTTGACAAAATGGATAAAAAAGATTCCGCTCAAAAAGCTTACGAGGAAATCATAGAAAAATTTCCTCATCATCCTTCCTCTAACATGCATAAAGAAAGGCTTAAAACTTTACACCTTACGGAAGAGGAATTAATTAAATTATTCGAAGAAAAAAATGCAAAATAAACTCCAAGCTTTTGAGCGTTTATTAGTGATTATGGATGAGTTACGTGCCCAATGTCCTTGGGACAAAAAGCAAACCATCCAAAGCCTTAGGCATCTTACTATTGAAGAGACTTATGAACTAGCTGATGCTATTTTAGATGACAACATGAACGACATCAAAGAGGAGATTGGGGACATCATGCTTCACATGGTTTTTTATTCCAAAATTGCTTCCGAAACTAATCATTTTGACATCGCTGATGCTTTAAATTCTGTGTGTGATAAATTAGTGGAACGTCATCCCCATATATACGGAGATGTAGTTGCTGAAAGTGAGGAAGAAGTAAAACAGAACTGGGAAAAGATTAAATTACAGTCTGGCAAAAAATCAGTCTTAGAAGGAGTTCCAAAATCTTTACCTGCTTTGGTAAAAGCGTCCAGAATTCAAGAAAAAGCTCGTGGAATTGGGTTTGACTGGGATAACAAGGAACAAGTTTGGGAAAAAGTAAAAGAAGAAATAGACGAATTAAAAATAGAGATTGATAAAGACTCTGACAAAATAGAAGATGAGTTTGGTGATGTGTTGTTTTCTTTGATAAATTATGCTAGATTTATCGGTGTAAATCCAGAAAACGCATTAGAAAGAACAAACAAAAAATTCATACAGAGATTCCAATACCTTGAAAATGAATCTCAAAAGGACGGAAAAACTCTTTCTGAAATGAGTTTAGAAGAAATGGATTTGTATTGGGAAAAAGCAAAAAAACTTTAACTACTTGACAGTAACTAAAGAAGATATAGATTTAAATAAATGGGTAGACGAATACTCTGATATGCTGTTTAATTACACAGCTAATCGAGTTAAAGATCGTGAGCTAGCCAAAGATCTTGTGCAAGACACTTTTTTTTCTGCCTTAAAAGCTTGGGACCGATTTGAACAAAAAAGTTCTGTTAAGACTTGGTTGTTTTCCATTTTAAAACGAAAAATTATCGACCATTGGAGGCAACAACAAAGTAGAAAAACTAATCCAATTTCTCAATTCACAACTAATGATGAAGATGAAAACAACTGGATTGAAGCTACTACTCCTTATAGTGAAGTAAATCAAACGGAAGCAAGTATAGAGAATTCTGAACTGAGAAATGCACTCATGACTTGCATTGAATTATTACCAGAAAAACAACGAGGAATTTTCATTGACAAATTTGTCGATAATAAAGATTCTGAAGAAATCTGTAATGAGTATGAAATAACCTCGTCCAACTTTTGGGTGATCATCCACCGAGCTAAGATTCAGCTGAAAGGATGTTTAGATAAAAAATGGTTTAATTAATGATTGATTGTAAAGAGGCAGCTCGATATATAGACAGAAGGGATTTTGAGAAACTAAGTTTTCGCGAGAAAATGGGATTGAGGTTTCACAATTTTATGTGTAAAAATTGCAGAGGATATTCCAAAGATTCTCACATCATTAGAAGACTGATGGGTAAAATCGCTAAAGAAAATAAATGCCTGAGCTGCGAGGAAAAAGAAGAGATGAAGAAAAAAATAGCTTCCTAAGGTCGAGAAGAGATTAATCTAACGATTTCATTACATTCACCAAAACTTCTACACTAGATACTGGTAAAGCATTGTACATAGAAGCTCTATAGCCTCCCACACTTCTGTGTCCTTTAATTCCACTAATGTTAGCTGCTTGCCATAATTCATCAAATTTAGCTTGCTTACTTGCATCCGTTAACACGAAAGTTACGTTCATATTACTTCGATCTTCCAGAGCTGCTACCCCTTCAAACAAAGGGTTTCTATCAATTTCAGCATACAGAATTCTTGCTTTTTCTTCGTTAATTTTTTGCTGTGCTTCCACTCCCCCAATCTTTTTTAAGTGTCTTAGGTTAAGCATAGAAACATATACAGAAAAAACAGGAGGTGTGTTAAACATAGAATCCTTTTTGACGTGGGTTTCCAAATTTAGCATCGTTGGGATTTTTATTCTATTACGGGTAAAAATTTCGTCTTTTACTATGTATAAAGTTGCCCCCGCTGGCCCCATATTTTTTTGAGCACCTGCATAAATTAAATCAAACTTAGAAATATCTACTTTTTTACTAAAAATATCTGAACTCATATCACACACCAATGGGATAGACGAAGTAGGAATCTCCTTAAATTGAGTTCCAAAAATAGTATTATTAGAAGTATAATGAAGAAAATCACAATCTGTTGGAACAGTATATCCTTTAGGAATGTGGTTAAAATTATCTTCTTCAGAAGAAGCAATCACAGACACTTCCCCAACACAATCCGCTTCTTTTATTGCTTTATTACTCCAAGTCCCAGTATTGATATAAGCTGATTTTTTATTCTCCCCAATCATATTGTAGGCGGCCATCAAAAAACCTAAACTTGCTCCCCCTTGCATGAAACATACTGAATATCCCTCAGGTACTTCTAGCAATTCTTTTACTAGAGCTACAGCTTCATCCATAACAGCTACAAAATTTGAACTCCGGTGAGAAATCTCTAAAATCGACAAATCTAACTCATCAAAATTAAGAACTGCTTCAGCTGCTTCTTTAATAACTTCTTGGGGTAAAATGCAAGGACCTGCACTGTAATTGTGAACTTTTGACATGAGAAATAAGGCTTTAATTTGTTTCTCAAAGTTACCTATTAATTTTGGATTGATAAATTAAGATAAGATGTTTTTTTCTTTACTTAAAAACTTCCAGTTTTCAAATAAAACCAGTTAACTTTCCTCATAAAAATCTTTAATCACATCCGCAATTTCCATTCCCACATGATTTATCCTTCTTAAAAAAAGTAAGGTAAACTCTATATCCTAAAAAGGATATAGCCAGAAAAACTGATATGAAAACTAATAATTCTTGCATTTAACTCAATAATTGGTAGACCGTTAGTGAAACTACATAAGCCAAAACAGTCATGTACAAAAATTGTATACTGGTCCACTTAATTGATTTTGTTTCTTTGTATGTAACTGCTATCGTACTCATACATTGTAAGGAAAAAGCATAAAAGAGAAGTAATGAGATACAAGTTGCAAAATTAAAAGTTCTTTTTCCTGTATTAGCATTGATTTCAGAATCTAATCTTTGCATGATAGTCATTTCTTCTTCTGAATTTATGTTGTAAATAATAGACATAGTTCCCACAAATACTTCTCTTGCTGCAATAGAGCTTATTAAAGCAATTCCCACTTTCCAATCATACCCTAAAGGTACGATAGCGGGTTCTATAGTTTTTCCTAAGCTTCCCAAATACGAATTTTCCAACTGATAAGCTGAAACGAGAGGCTTTAATTCTTCCTCAGAAAGAGTCTGGTATTGCGAGGCTACATAACTCTCAGCAGCATCAAACTTTTGCCCACCATTTGTAGCTAAAACATATAAAATTATAGAAGTAGCAACTATGATTTTCCCTGCATTCCAAACAAAAGATTTTGTGTTTTCCCATATGGTAAACAACATGTTTTTAACATTCGGCACCAAGTACCTAGGCATCTCAGTGATAAAAAAGCTTTTGTATTTATTTTTAATTAAATGTTTAAAAACCAGAGCCGCTAACGCTGAAGTAACTACTCCTAATAGATACATCCCTAATAGAACAAGTGCCTGTAAACTTATTCCATAAAAAAACTCATTAGGAACCAATAAACCAATTAAAACAGTGTATACCGGAAGCCTTGCCGAGCAAGTCAATAAAGGTGCCACCAAAATCGTAATTAACCTTTCCCTCTTATTTTCAATGGTTCTAGTAGCCATAATTGCTGGTACTGCACAAGCAAAACTAGAAATTAGGGGGACAACACTTTTCCCACTCATTCCTACTTTTTGCATCAGGCTATCCATCAAATAAATAATCCGATTCATGTATCCACTCTCATCTAATAAAGCGAAAAAGAAAAATAAAATAACTATTTGAGGGACAAAAATTACCACCCCTCCTATTCCAGGGATTAATCCTTCGGTGATAAGGTCTGTAAAACTCCCTGGAGGCAACTGATCACTCATACTACTCGAACACCAAGAGAAAAAATCATCTATCAAATCCATGGGATAAGTCGCCAAAGAAAATACCGATTGAAAAATAATTAATAATACAAATAGAAAAATTACATACCCAAAAACCTTGTGCAAAAGAATTTTATCCACCCTTGTGGTCATATCAGAAGCCAATGACTTATCTACCTTAATTGATGCATTAATCACCCTTCTAACGTATTGATACCTTAAAATTGATTCTTCAGTTTTCCACTTTTTACTATTTACCTCGGTCATATTATTCTCCTGAGTAATTTCCAAAAAAGCTCTATATAGATTGTTTATGCCTTTCTCTTCCGCATACTGTTTTAAAAGTTTATGGTTTTCAGGTCTAAGGTATACAAGTTCATCAACCTTTGTTGGTGGAGAATCTAATAAAAGGGTTGACTTTAATTCATCTATCCCTTCCCCCCTTCTTGCTGAAATGCTCACCACATGAATTCCAAACTCCTTAGCTATTGATTGCGTGTCAACCATTATTCCCTTCCTCTTAGCCACATCCATCATATTAATCGCCAATACAATGTCATAGCCTAAGTCTTTAACCTGAGATAACAAGTATAGATTCTTTTTGATGTTCGTTCCGTCTGCTATGAATAATAATTTATTCACTTCAGTTTTTCCAGAATTTTCTTTCAAAAATTTAACAACTAATTCTTCGTCTAACGATTTGGGGTACATACTATCAAAACCTGGTAAATCTATTAGGTCAATAGAATGAGTATGGTGAACAAAACTCCCTTGTTTTTTATCTACTGTTACACCTGGATAATTGCCTGTTTTCTGATTAACTCCACACAACCTATTAAATAAGGTCGTTTTCCCCACATTGGGATTTCCTATAAGCGCTACTTTCAATGCCTTCATTCTAAAATTATATGAGCAGCTTCTTTCTTTCTAATGGCGATTCTTTGAGAATCTAACGCAATATAAATAGGCCCATTTAAAGGAGCCCTATTTAAAATGGTAATAACAGCACCTGGAACAATTCCATACTCCAATAATTTATTATCAAAGTCAGACTCTTCAATCTCTTTCACTGTGCCTGTTGTCATATGTGTACAATCGGATAACCTCAATTCAGAAAACTTCTTATTTAGAACAAATATAAATAAAAATAAATCCTTTACCCCTATGATTTTAATCATTTTGACTTATCCAATTGAGAACAACACATTACACTTAGTTTTGGTTTAAATTACTTATATTCGTTTCAGAATAAAAACCCCTCTAACATGAAGATTAAATATTTAATTCTTTCTACTTCTATAGTAGCACTACTTGCCTGTTCTGTAAGCAAAAAGAAAAAAAACACTACTCAAGAAAATGCTACCGCCACAGCTGTCTCTAGCATCGGAGATCCTTTTGACGAACCTGATCAAGCTTCAAATGGAGAACCTCTTACTAATGAGTTAATCTGGTATTCTGGCGAATTTTATGGAGAATCTGTCAGAGGAGTTCGTTCTATGAAAGATGGTGAACACTTTACTACTATGGGCAATGGGGAATTAGGACCTGAAATAAATAAATATTCATATGCCACTTATGAAAAAGTAGCAACCCTCTTAACCTTCATGGATTTAAAAGATGAGGAAGGCAAACCGATTCCTATTGACAGTTACGAATTTAGTGCGGATGAAACCAAAGTATTAATAGCCACCGATCAAGAAAGTATTTACCGTAGGTCCAGCAAATCTTTCTATTACATTTATGATTTAGCTACTAAAAAAACAACTCCTTTAGCCAATAAAGAGAAAGGAAAGCAACGACTAGCCGATTTTTCTCCTTCTGGGAACTTGGTAGCTTTCGTGAGAAAAAATAATTTGTTCTATACCAATATAGAAACTGGAAAAGAATTTCAAATAACCTTAGATGGGGAAATTAATAAAATTATTAATGGAGCTACTGACTGGGTATATGAAGAAGAATTTGGCTTTCACAAAGGGTTTGAATGGAATGAAAACGGGACTAAGATTGGTTATTGGAAATTTGATGAATCTAAAGTAAAAGAGTTTCACCTGAACTATTATGGTCCTCTATACCCTCAAGAGTATCGATTCAAATACCCTAAAGCTGGGGAAGACAATTCCAACATCAGCATTCATGTATTTGACATTTATAAGCAACTTTCCACTCCTATTGAGATCATCGATCAACAAGAAGAATACTATATTCCTAGAATTAACTGGACTAAGGATCCGATGAAATTATCCCTCACTAAATTAAATAGACTTCAAAATAATTTACAATTAATGATGGTTGATTGCACTCCAAAAAATGCTCGAAAAGTAGCTTCTTACATTGCTAAACCTTACTATTCTGAATCAGCCAAAACCTATATCGACATTCATGATAACCTAACTTTCTTCAAGGATAATAACACCTACTTATGGATGAGTGAAAAAGATGGATATAACCATATTTACCTCAACACGATTGACGGAAAGGAAAAACAAATCACTACTGGAAAATGGGACGTGATTGAAATTCAGGGAGTAGATGAAACTAATGGATTAATCTATTATTTATCAGCAGAAAATGGAGCTATTTATCAAGATTTGTACGTCATAAAAACAGATGGAACTGGTAAGAAAAAACTCTCTACGCGCATGGGGAATAACTCTACTGCATTTAGTAAAGGAATGAAATATTACATCAATTATCATTCAGATGCAAACACCCCCTCTTTCATCTCTTTGCATAAAGCAGACGGTAAACAAATTAAGGTATTAAAAGACAACAAAGCTTTAATTCACCGATTAACTAAATATAGGTTACCTGGTAAAGAATTTTTTACTTTTAAAAATGCCGAAGGCATTGATTTAAATGCATGGATGATTAAACCCACAAACTTTGATACTACCAAAAAGTACCCTGTGTTTATGACTGGATACAATGGACCTGGAAGTAATGTAGTCAAAGACTCATGGGGAGGAAGTACCATGATGTGGCATCATTTATTAGCAAAAAAAGGATTCTTAGTAATTTGTGTTGAAACGAGAGGAACTATGTTTCGAGGAAGGGATTTTAAACATTCCACTTACCTTCAGTTGGGAAAACTAGAAACTGAAGATTTGATAAGTGCTGCTAAGTATTTGGGAGGATTAGCTTATGTAGACAAAGCCAACATCGGAATTCAAGGATGGAGTTATGGAGGGTATATGGCTTCTCTTTGTATGACTAAGGGAGCTGATTATTTTAAAGCTGGTATTGCTGTTGCTCCAGTGACAAATTGGAGATATTATGACAATGTCTATACTGAAAGATTTATGCGAACCCCTCAAGAAAATAGTGATGGATATGACGATAATTCTCCTATCAATCATGTAAGTAAATTAAAAGGAGCCTTTTTATTAGTTCATGGTGGAGGTGATGATAATGTTCATCCTCAAAACACCTACGAAATGGTTAACGCCTTAGTAAAAGAAAATAAAGAATTTGATATGTTTATTTACCCTAATCGTAATCATGGTATTTATGGAGGAAAGACTAGACTTCACTTGTTTAATAAAATGACTCATTTCTTAGAAGATAACCTGATGGCAAATTAGTTGTTTTATCTCTCTACTATTTATTCATATATTGCACCCGCTAACAAAAAAAAAGAACCTTATGAAGAAAGCACTTGTATTCCTATTCATCCTTTCTGTATTCAATGGATTTTCACAAGATACTATCACTACCTATTTTAGTGAATCCTGGAAGCCTACTATAGAAAGAAACGCAAAGTATTACCGTAAGTCCTATAAAAAAGCAAAAAGACAATACGTAGTTAAAGATTACTACATGGATGGTACCATACAAATGGAAGGAGTTTATAAGGATCGAAAACTTAAAAAAAGAAATGGATTCTTCACCTACTACCATGAAAATGGGAAAAAGCATATGGAAGGAAATTTCGTGAAGAATAAAAGAGTTGGAGAATGGAGTTGGTGGTACGAAGGTGGAAATTTAGAAGAAAAAGGGAAATTTGACACGAAAGGACTCGCCACTGGATATTGGAAAAATTACCACGAAGAAAGTGGTAATATGGACAGTGAGGGATCTTATGTTAAAGGAAAAAAAGATGGCACGTGGAAGTATTACTTTGAAAACAAACAAATAAGTTCTAAAGAAAAATTTTCAAATGGAGTTCTGCTAGACTTTGACTTTTGGAATGATAACGGAAAAAAAATAAAGACGGGAAACAGTACCCTTGTTATGCCTAAGTATTCTGAAGACGAAGACTTTTATGAAGACTTCATGGATAAAAATGTGAAGTATCCTCGAACAGAAAAATCAAAAAAACATGAAGGTATAGTCTTTATCAAAGTAAAAGTTGATAAAGAAGGTAAAGTAACTGACCACGAAATATTTAAATCTAGTGGGTATGGAAAATTAGACGATGAAGCTTTAAGGGTATCGAAACTAATCACCAAAATGATTCCTGGAAAATACCACAACAGACCAGAAGAATTTACTTACATTATTCCCGTGGTATTTGAATTATAAACCTCAAAGCCTCCTCAACAAAATTGGAATGGCTATTGTCTAACAGTCAATGAATTTTGATGTGGTCGTATAGCTTGGAGATTAAAGGACTTTGTCAACGACTACTTTGTATGTCGGGTCTTCTAGTACATTGACATCAATTACTTTTTCTGCATCTTCAAGTAATTTAATACAATCCGGAGAAAGGTGCTTTAAATGTACTTTCTTTCCAGCTTTCAAGTAGCGATCAGTTAATTTATTTAACGCTTCGATGGCTGACATATCCGTCACCCTACTTTCCTGAAAATCAATAATTACTTCTTCGGGATCATTTGCTACGTCAAATTTTTCATTAAAAACTCCTACAGAACCAAAAAACAAAGGACCATATATCTCATAATGTTTCACTCCATTCTCATCTGTATATTTTCTGGCTCTAATTCTTTTGGCATTATCCCAAGAGAAAACCAAGGCTGAAATAATGACTCCAATCAATACTGCCAAAGCTAAATTGTGTAAGAATACTGTGATCAGAGTCACCACTACCATCACAAAAACATCAGACTTAGGCATTTTATTAAACACTTTAAAACTTGCCCATTCAAAGGTTCCTATCGCCACCATAAACATCAAGCCTACCAAAGAGGCCATCGGTAATTTTTCAATCAAACTGGAACCAAACATGATGAATACAAGAAGCATCACCGAAGCTACAATTCCTGATAATCTAGCCCTAGCTCCATTAGAAGTGTTAATCAAACTTTGACCTATCATGGCGCATCCTCCCATCCCTGAGAATAATCCCGACAAAATATTAGCAGTTCCTTGTGCTACTGCTTCTTTGTTACTCCTTCCTCTTGTTTGAGTAATTTCATCCACTAAATTAAGCGTTAACAGACTCTCAATTAAACCTACTCCTGCTACAATAGCTGCATAAGGGAGAATCAACCAAAAAGTATCTAAGCTAAAAGGCACGGTTGGAAAAGTAAATGGAGGAAAGCCTCCCTCTATAGATTGACCTTCATTTAAAGTCCCAGCAATGGTTAATGTATCAATATCTAACCCCAATACTATCCCTGTTACAATTAAGATTGCCGCAAGTGATGAGGGTATTACTTTGGTAATTTTTGGCAATCCCCAAATGATTAACATAGTTAAAGCTACTAAGCCGACCATAGTAAACAAAGGGCCACTCTCTAATAATTCTTTTCCCCCTTTTTGATAAAAATTAGGGAATTGAGCTGTAAAAATAATAATCGCTAATCCATTAACAAATCCAAACATAACAGAATGAGGGACTAATCGAATGAATTTACCTAACCTCAAAACACCAAACAAAATTTGAATAATTCCAGCTAAAATAACGGTTGCAAAAACATAGGGTAAAATGGCTAGTTCTCCTTCCACTCCAATTCCCTCAAGTTGAGTAACTAACCCTCCAAAAATAACCGCTACTGCTCCAGTTGCTCCTGAAATCATTCCAGGCCTTCCTCCAAAAACAGAAGTTATCAATCCCATGACAAAAGCAGCGTATAACCCGATAAGAGGTGAAAAACCTGCTATCATAGCAAAAGCCACTGCTTCAGGCACTAAAGCTAAGGCAACAGTTAATCCTGATAAAACCTCTGTTTTATAGTTTACTTTTTGGGATAAATCAAATAGATTGAAATATTTCTTCATGGGTCTGTATTTTTACGACTCGTATGCTTCGAGAGTGCAAAAGTACCTAATTTATTTCAAAATTTACCTGAAGAATGAAAATGGATTTATGCTAAAAAACAAGCATTAATCCCTCATTAACTTTTTATATTTCACTCTTGTAGGAACTTGGTTACCAAGTCTCTTAATTTTGTTTTCCTCGTATTCTTGATATGTTCCTTCAAAGAAATAGACCGTTGAGTCATTTTCAAACGCTAAAATGTGAGTACAAATTCTTTCTAAAAACCACCTATCGTGAGAAATAATTACAGCACATCCTGCAAAGTTTTGAATTCCTTCCTCCAAAGCTCTTAATGTATTTACATCTAAATCATTGGTAGGCTCATCCAGTAATAATACATTCGCTTCTGTTTTTAATGTCATGGCTAAATGCAACCTGTTTCTTTCTCCTCCAGATAGTACTTTTATCTTCTTACTTTGGCTATTTCCACCAAAATTAAACCTAGAAATATAAGCCCTTGCATTAATTTTCTCTCCTCCTATTTCTATATTATCTGCCCCTCCAGACACTACTTCGTAAACAGTTTTTTCAGGATCTAAATCTTTGTGCTTTTGATCTACATACCCAATTTTCACAGTATCTCCAACCGAAAATGTTCCCGAATCTGGAGCATCTTCTCCCATTATCATACGAAACATCGTTGTTTTCCCCGCTCCATTAGGACCGATAATTCCTACTATTCCTGCTGGTGGCAATTTAAAGTTTAAATCTTCATATAACACTTTATCACCAAATGCTTTTGCTACACTAGTAGCTTCTATTACCTCTTTTCCTAATCTTGGACCATTTGGAATAGGTAACTCAAGTTTTGCTTCTTTTTCAGCTGATTTTTGACTCAACATCTTCTCATAATTAGCAATACGAGCTTTATTTTTAGCTCTTCTTCCCTTAGGATTCTGATTTACCCACTCCAACTCTCTTTGCAAATGTTTTTGTCTTTTACTTTCCGTTTTCTCTTCTTGTTGTAATCGTTTTAACTTTTGATCCATCCAAGAGGAATAATTCCCTTTCCAAGGGATTCCATGTCCTCTATCTAATTCTAAAATCCATCCTGCTATGTTATCTAAGAAAAATCTATCGTGAGTTACTGCTATTACTGTTCCTTTATATTGATTCAGGTGTTGCTCCAACCACTGTACTGACTCAGTATCCAAGTGATTCGTTGGCTCATCTAGTAGCAATACATCTGGATTTTGTAATAACAATCTGCATAACGCAACTCGCCTAAGCTCTCCCCCAGATAAATTCTCAATAGATGTATCTCCTTCAGGCGTCCTCAATGCACCCATGGCTTGTTCCAATTTACTATCAATGTCCCAAGCATCTAATTGATCGATCTGTTCCTGAACTTTCCCTTGTCTTTCTATCAAATCATTCATTTTGTCAGGATCATTCATGATTTCTTCCTCCATGAATTTATTATTAATCTCCTCATACTCTGCCAACACATCCATGGTTGATTGAACTCCTTCTTGTACAATTTCTTTTACCGTTTTAGTGGGATCTAGTTTAGGTTCTTGAGGTAGATACCCTACACTATATCCTGGTTGAAAAACAACTTCACCTTGGTAATCTTTGTCAATTCCAGCTATGATTTTCATCACGGTAGACTTTCCCGCTCCGTTCAATCCTAGAATTCCAATCTTTGCTCCATAAAAGAAAGAAAGATAAATATCTTTCAGTATATGTTGTCCTGATGGAGTAGTCTTATTTACTCGATCCATCGAGAATATTATCTTTTTATCGTCTGACATTTTTTTGGGCTTTAAATAGTTAGTTTTGGGTTTAAGTTTTAAAGGTAGCGAAGTTGGTTGTGATTAAAAAAAACTACTTACATATTCTTCAAATACTCTAACACTTTTTTATCCGTTTCTTTCTTCTTCAAGGAATCCAAGACCATTTGTACTTCTCTGAGTTCAGTTTTCAATTCACTTACCTTTCTTTCCAATTTTGATTTTTGTGTGGCATCAGTTGCCACTTCTATGTCAGTTGTCACTTCCGAAATTCTATTTTTTAATCTATTCTTGGTTGTTAGCAAACCTTGATAACCTCCCATCTTCATCCACCATGTTGTAGTCCCTTCCACTACTGATTGATACACAGCATTAGATTTTGACAATTCTTTTTCATCCAACTTACTTAAGTAAGTGCCGTACTGATTAAGCAATCCATACTGTGCAAACCCTGAAGTTTGAGGAATAGTTTGAAGGAAAAAATCATGATTTTCTTTAGTCCCATGATCAGCATAGAGTGAAGCTATAATTGATTTGACTGAACTACTTTTTTCTTTCTCTAAAGTCTTAGCATATCCCATGGCTTTTTTAGGATTAGAGTTAGCCAATGATTGTAAGCAAACTCCCATCACTTTGTAAGACTTATCAGACAATCCTTTGGTCAACAATTTTTCATGTCCTTCATCTTTTCCGTAGTATCCTTCTAGATTTTTATAAGCATTTGCTCTTACTGAGGAGGAGGAGTTATGGCCAGTCAATTTTATAAGTCGTTCCTTTAGCCTAGTTGGGTTTTGTTTGTGTAATTCTCCTAAATCTCCCATTCCCATATTATTAAACCCATAATAAGAAGATTCTAACAGGTTAAAAATAGCTAAAACAGCTTGTTGATTGTCACTATTTTTAAGACGAGCTAACGCCTCTTTCTTGTCTAAATAACGAGGAGCCATATTTAATTGATAAATCCATTGTTGTTCGGACTTCTCTTCTGATTTTTTGCCTAATATAATTTTCTCAGCATCAAAATTCACCAGTAAAGGTTTTTCAGAATCAAATTCAAATGTTTGTTTTTTCTTAGTTACTAATAAGGTCTTTCGTTCTCTTTTCCCCTCGGTATAAATATCAACTTCAATAGGTAACTTAAAGATCGGAAACTGTTCAAAATTTTGTTTCTGTTCTATTTTCAATGTAAGCTTCTTAGCTTTACTATCATATTCTTGCGAATAATGTAGCGTTGGATGCCCTTGATCAAAATACCATTGATTGAAAAACCAATTTAAATCTTCACCCGTAACTTCTTCAAAAGACAATCTTAAATCGTGTGCCTCAGCCGTATTAAACCTCTTCTTATTCAGATAATGTTTCAAAGAAGCAAAAAATGCTTTATCTCCCACATAATACCTCAGCATATGTAAAATCCTACCTCCTTTGTTATAGGAGTGGCCATCAAACATTTCCATTTCATCTTGATACTCAAAGTTTACTAAATCATGATATCCTCCTTGTCCAGCAGAAAGAAAATAGCCTGTCATTTCTCCATAAGCATTCTTATCTGCTTCTTCCCTTCCATGTTCAAACTCATCCCATAAGTACTGACTATAATTAGCAAATGACTCATTGACAGTAAGATTAGACCAAGACTCGCAGGTAACCAAATCCCCAAACCAATGGTGAAACAATTCATGTGCTATGATTGCTTCGTTGTCTGAGTCCAACAACTCTTTATCCGTTTGATATAGAAAATCTCCATGAATTACTGCAGTAGTATTCTCCATAGCTCCAGAGACATAATCACGTACTACTATTTGGTTATATTTATCCCAGGGATAGGTAACTCCAAGTTTATCAGAAAAAAACTGAATCATCTTTGGAGTCTTACCAAAAATTGCTTTTGCATAAGGAGTATACTCAGGCTCTGTATAATAATTTACCTCCATCTTAGTTCCATCTGGCCTAGTCCATGAGTCTTTGGTTATGTCAAATTCTCCCACAGCCATCATAAACAAATAAGGAGCATGCTTCAATTCTTGTTTCCAATAATCAGTTCGGGTCCCGTCTGAATTTTTCGTAGAAGAAATAAGTTTCCCATTGGACAGAGTAACGTATTTTTCTTTCACTGTGATTGAAAGCTCTTGAGTAGTTTTTTCATTTGGAGAATCGATAGTTGGAAACCAACATGAACTTGATTCCGTTTCTCCTTGAGTCCATATCTGAGGCATCTTATTGGGATCTTCTCCCAGTGGATTAATAAAATACAGCCCTTTTTCATCGGTAATTGCCGAACTCCCTGATGATTTTAATTCATTGGGTTTAGATGTATAATCAATCTTAATTGTATACGTTTCACTTTGAGTATAGGTTGTTCCCAATTGAATGACTAATTTCATCCCATCATACTCATAATTCAATTTTTTTTCACTCATAGAAACAGAATGAATATCAAAGCCCTTAGCGTCTAATTCCAGAGAGTTTACGGGATAAAAGTAAGGCTTGAAAGTAAGTTCTGCTTTTCCTAATAAATGCTGTTTTTGCCAATCAAATTTAACTTCCAGCTTGGTGTGAATCAAATCATTTATTCGCTTATTACTTGCCTGATATCGAGAAATCTCAGCCCTTTCTCCTTCAGCACTTTGAATGGTGAGCTCGGGTAAAGCTTTAATCTCAACAGGATCCTCTACTCTACTTTCTTTAACTGTTTTACAGCTTACTGTAACTACGGTTATAGTTAATAATGTTATTAAGTATCTTTTCATTGTAATGAGTCTTTATGTCTATAGTTTTATGCTTTCTATCATCTATGATACCAGCCCTGCTCGTTCTAACAACGCATCAGGATTAGGCTCTTTCCCTCTAAAACGCTTATAAAGTGTCATGGGATGTTCTGTTCCTCCTCTACTCAATACATTCTCAGCAAATGAAGCTCCAATCTCTGAATTAAAAATTCCATTTTCTTTAAAATAGGAAAAAGCATCTGCATCTAATACTTCTGCCCATTTGTAACTGTAATAACCAGAGGAATATCCACCATTAAAAATATGCGAAAATGCTACTGACATACAATTTTCTGCAACATCAGGGGTAAATCGGGTTTGATCAAAAGTCTTTTTTTCGTGTTCTTTCACATCAGTTACTTCCTCAGGGTTCTGCCCATGCCAACTCATGTCTAACAAACCAAAACTTAATTGACGCACTGTCGCTAAACCTTCCATAAAATTGGAAGATTCTTTTATTTTTTCTACAAATCCCATTGGAATAGTTTCTCCTGTTTCATAGTGTTTTGCAAATAAATCTAAGCATTCTTTTTCATAGCACCAATTCTCCAACACTTGACTAGGTAATTCCACAAAATCCCAATAAACACTAGTTCCTGATAAACTTGGATAATTGGTATTAGCAAGCATACCATGTAATCCATGGCCAAATTCATGAAAAAGGGTAGTCACTTCGTCAAAGGTTAATAGAGAAGGTTTGGTCCCAGTGGGTTTAGTAAAATTACACACATTGGAAATATGAGGCCTTTCATTCTTCCCATTCACAACTTGTTGTGATTTGAAGGAGGTCATCCATGCTCCGTTTCTCTTTCCCGCTCTAGGAAAATAATCCCCATAAAATATAGAGACTAATTTGTTATCAGCTCCATAAACTTCATACGTCTCAACGTCTGGGTGATATACATCAATAGAATCCACTTTTTTAAACGTCAATCCATACAACTTACTTGCTACCAAGAAGGCTCCTTCAATGACATTTTCTAACTTGAAATAAGGCTTCAATTGCTCATCATCAAGGTTAAATAATTTCTTCTTCAATTTCTCTGAATAAAAAGCAGAATCCCACTTTTGAAAATCCGTAATTCCATCTAATTCTTTTGCAAATTTTGCCAACTTGTCAAATTCTTGTTGAGCAAAGGGTTTTGCTTTGTCCAACATCTCATTTAAGAATTGATTTACTTTAGCTGGATTAGTAGCCATTCGTTCTTCCAGCACGAAATGGGAATGAGTCTCATATCCCAATAAATTAGCTCTTTGATGGCGCAATTTAGCTATATCTAAAGTAATTGTTTCGTTATTAAACTGATTATCTTGAAATCCCCTTGAACTATAGGCTATCGCCATCTTTTTTCTCAATTCCCTATTCTGAGCATATTTCATGAAAGGGCCATAACTAGGATAGTGAAGGGTGAACACCCAACCTTCTATCTGTTTTGATTTTGCTACCTGAGCTGCTGCTTCCTTTGTTCCTTCAGGTAATCCAGCTAACTCTTTTTCATCCGTCAAGATTAATTCATACCCATTAGTTTCAGCTAATAAATTTTCTCCATAAGTCAACTTTAGCTTTGAAAGCTTATTGTCAATTTCCCTTAAAATAACTTTATCAGCTTCATTTAAATTAGCACCATTTCTTGAAAAGCCTTTGTAGGTTTTATCTAACAAAGTTTTTTGTTCAGCCGATAAGTTTAAAGTTTCTTTAGAATCGTAAACTTCTTTGACTCGTTTAAACAAACTAGGATTTAGAGTAACATCATTTCCAAACTCAGTAAGTAGAGGAGAAACTTCTTGTGCTATTTGTTGAATCTCATCGTTAGTTTCGGCTGAATTTAGATTAAAAAATAAGCTAGAAACACGATCCAATTGATTCCCTGAAAATTCCATAGCTTCTATGGTGTTTTCAAAAGTTGGAGTACCAGAATTAGTAGTAATTGCTTCTATTTCATCTTTGGCATCCTGAATTAAAATTTTGAAAGCTGGTAAGAAATGTTCATTGTTGATCTGTGAAAAAGGAGACAAATCAAAAGGGCGTAAAAGAGGGTTATCAGTTAGTGGCATTTAAAAATTAGTTCTTAATTTGAATAAGTAAAAATACAAATTAATCCCATTTTTATCCTCTTTATTATTTAGTCGGAAAGAATCGCTGATGAACGATTTATTACCTAACATGTATTAGAAATACCTATTCCAGATTCAAATCACATCACAATCAAACATTTATTCGCTTTTTATCAATCATCATATCGGTTTGAATATGGTGCATTTGGCATTTCAACTCTTCTAGCTTTCCATCTAATACTTTGTTTATTCATTGCTATCATCATCAATTTTAGCACTAACTGCCAAATGCACTATATTTTTTGTTGGCAACCGTAACTATTTAACTTCCAGAACAAATGGCAAATACTCTTTTTTGTTTTCGTATTCAACAAGTAATAATTCCTTCAATTTGTCATTATTTCTCATAAACATATACATTGCTCCTTGTGCTCTTAAAAGTCGGTCTTTATTTTCTATCCCTAAATTGATTTTATACAGTTCCTTAATTCCTTTAACGAATTCATTGTACATATTGAACTGCTCCCCTTGATAATTATTCAAAATTGTAGAAAAACAAAAAGCTTCAATTTGTGGATTTCTTTCTTTTTCTGTTTGTTTTAATCCATTAATTCCAGTGCATACTTTAGCTATGTAGTAACCATCTTTATTTATTCTAAGAATCGAAAAATACTTCACTGCAATGTTTAGCAATTCATTCATTGAAATTGTGTCAGGAGTGTAATTTGATTTATCAGTTATCTTTTTTGTCAACTTACTCATTTCAATATTAAATATACTATCTTTTTCTAGGGATTTAATAAATTCATTTTGAAGCTCATTCGTATCGTTGATAGCTATTAGTTTTTCATAGTTTGAATTGTCTGAAAAATGAGTTCGTAGATAATCAATGTATTGTCCATTATTGTTTACTAAGGCTGAAAAACAAGTATTGGTGTCAATTTCATTAATTGTTTTCATTAAATATTCTCGTTCTCCGTATTTCTTTTTTTCAATTTTGAATATTTTTCCATACTCATCTATAATATTACAGTCAGTTTGTGAAAATGCATTTACTGCAATCAGTCCAATTGTTAAAATCAACAATAATTGTTTCATATTTTCTGTTTTTGGTTGCCAACGGTTAGGTTAGTATAAGTCCACTCAATCGATAGGGAGTATTATCTACTTATACATTGTCTAGGCTTGTTTTTCATTTTTCCTTTTGTTCAATCGTCCACTCAATATCCCAACGCTTAACATAATCTTGAATAGGACCAAGTCCCACTTCTTTTCTCCTTTGATTAACATATTCAGGTTCCCATATTTCATACACAACCTGTTTTCCAGTTTCTTTATCAGTAGTGATTTGCGAACCATATGTTTGAGGTTTACCATTTCGCATTTGCATTCTGTCTTCAAGTAATGCCAAATGACTTCCTCTTGACTCTCCTTCTAATACTGATTTTCTTAGAAGTGGTAAGTATTTCTCTTGTGTTTCCAGCGGTGCGTGCTGAATAACTAACCACAAAGTTATATTTGCTCGTCCCCCAACTAAACTTTTCCCAACCCAACCTTTTTCTTCAATGATTTTTATTACTTCAAGTTCGTTTATGCTATCCTGTTCGGATACCAGTTTCCAAAAGTATTTCATCTCATCTGATTCTTTACCAAATTTCTCCTCTGCGTGTCTGTATAACTGCCTTAACATTTGGTCTCGCATATAAATCTCCTCTAAGTGCTGCTTAAGTGGTTTATCAAAGTCTTTTTCATATTCATCAAGATTGACTTTTACTTTATCTAATATCTGACCCCATTCTTTAACTAAATGAAGACTTAGCAAGTCCTTGTCTCTTTTAATATGTTTTAGGTTTTTCCACCCTTTGTCAGCTGACAAGTTTAAGTATTTAATAGACTGAATTGTATCGCCTGTCAATGACCAAGAGCAAGCCGCATTGTAATATTGTCCAGAACTTCCTTCGTTTATTTTAAATGCCTCATCGTATTCTTTTGCTGATTCAAGATATTTCCCTTGTTTATACAAATTATCACCACTCTTTATTAATTCATCAAACGTTTGAGCTTGAACTGAAAATGTTAAAAAGCTGATTAAAAATATTAATCTCGAGTTCATATTTCTTGTTTTTTAATTCTGACTAACAGAAAATTAATTTATACTAAATTTAGCCCAATCTGGAGCATAAAATTTCAAATCTCTTCGTTAAACTCGAATTACGCATTAGAAATCTATTACATCTTGAACTTACTAAGTTCTAATGCAGAATTCTAGTTAAAAACTAAAAAGCTAATCTAGCTCTATACTTAATAGTTTCATTGGTTATTTTATTTTAAATGAGATGGGAACTACCATCTCTATATTTACTTTCTTTCCATCCTTTATACCAGGATTCCAATCTGGCATAGATTTAATTACCCTTATTGCTTCCTTTTCCAATTCTTTATTCACTTTTCTTTTCACATTTATCTTGGTTACTTTCCCTTCTTTAGTGATAGTAAAACCGACAAATACAATCCCTTCAATATTCTTTGATTTTGCTTTCTCGGGATACTGAACATTTTTTGAAATAAATTGAAACAGGGCTTCTTGTCCCCCTTTGAACGTAGGCCTAACTATAGAATCATTCTCTTGAATCCTGATATTTATAGTAGGTTCTTTAACAGGAGACTTATTCCAAGACACCAATGAAAGCATTAAAGTTAAAATTGGAATAATTAACAATAATCCTGGTTGTTTAGATGTTTTATTCTTCATGATTTTGATTCTTTGTGTCAATGATAGTTCATTGTAAAATTGACTGGTTAATAAATATTTTTCTGATTGAGTTCTCAAAGAATAATGCAACAATGATTGGATATAAGTTGCCTCATATTTGTCATACATAATTGTATCCACTTGGTATTCTTGTACTTTTTTAAGTTCGACCATTATCAAATAAACCAAAGGATTAAACCAAAGAAATAATTTGAAAACCTCAGCTACCATAATCTCTCGTGTGTGATTATGCATTACATGAGCCTTTTCATGTTCTTCTACAATACCTAATTCAGAGCTATGTTCATCATTTAAATGGATTTTATTAAAAAATGAAAACGAATCCGCTTTCTGAGAGATGTACACTCTATACCCATCCTTTTGCTTGAAATCTATTTTTTTAAAGAAAGAAATAATTCGTTTTATTTTCACCAATAATAAAACAAAAGACAACAATACCCCCGCCCAATAAATACTCTCGAGTGTTATGAATGTCTGTTCATTTCCCACCATAGTATTTGATATATTTATGAGATCTAGTTCTAAAGTTATGACACTTGCTAATTCTTTATTACTTTGCAAGTATGAACTTATTATCACAATAAGAAAAGAAAGAAAAGGCAATAAAAGTAATAGTAATCTTCTACTGCTATACTTCAATTTGTTCTTTATCATCCAATAAATGGAATAAAATAAAATTAACCACAGGTTGGCTTCTAGCAAATTATTCATCTCTCTCTTTTTTTAAAGTAGCTAAAACTTCATCCAAGTCAGCTAAAGATAAATCAGCGTCTTTCATGAAAAAGGATAATAATTCTTTGCTTGAATTATTAAAATAATTCTTCTTTAAAGATTTTATCTTTCTAATTGTGTATTCACTTTTGGACACTAGTGGATAATATTCATTTGCCTTACCATAAGTATTAAATGCAACAAACCCTTTGGTAACTAGAACCCTGACTACAGTCAAGACAGTGTTATAAGCTGGTTTAGGTTCTAAAATATTTTCTAAAATATCTTTAGCAAACCCTTTTTCTATTTTCCAAATAACTTGCATTATCTGCTCTTCTGCTTTTGTTAATTCTCTTTTCATATTTCAAATATATAACTATAAATATAGTTATACAACTATTTTTATAAACATATAACTATTAAAATAGTTTTGATTTACATCATACCCCAAGAAGCCCCATGGATTATAGGCTAAAATTGATTACATTTAAGGCATGGTGATTCTTACTCGATTTATGATTTTTAGAAAGTATTCGGCTATCACATTATGGCCATTTATTATCATGAACAAAAAGTTTAATCAAAAAGAGAGATTACTAAATCACGAAAGAATTCACTTGCGACAACAGTTGGAATTACTTATTATATTTTTTTATCTCTGGTACGGAACAGAATTCATGATTAGGTATTTACTCCTCAGAAATTGGGATCAAGCTTATCGAAATATTTCATTTGAAAGAGAAGCATATAAGAACGAACAAAACATGGAGTATTTAAAGAACAGGTCTCTATTCTCTTTTTTAAACTATTACAAAAAAAGGTCATCCACTAGTAAGTGAATGACCTTATTATGAATTATTGGAATAAATTATCAGAAACGATTAATCAAATTCTTCAATGAGTATTCCCATTTTACCAGATTGAGAATCCCGTAAAGCTTCCATTATCTCAGTTTGAGAATTCATCACAAAAGGACCATAAGAAGCTACTTTTTCTCCTATTGGTTCTCCAGAAAGAATCATAAACCTTGTATTCATTTTAGCTTGAATATTGATAGTGCCGTCTTCCCGTTCAAATACAATCATGTCTTTTCCTACCGCTTCTTCTCCGTTTACGATTACGTCTCCGTCCAGCAAATAGAGAATAGCATTAAATGTAGAGGGAATTGGAATTTCAACCTTTCCTCCTTCTTTAATTTCTCCTCTAAGCAGTGTTTGTGGACTATAAGTTGGTGCAGCTCCTCTCACTCCATTTAATTCTCCTGTCACTACCCAAATTGTTGAATCTTTATTTTCTATAACAGGAGTATGCTCCTTGGAAATTGGTTGGTAATAGGCTGGTCTCATCTTATCTTTTGCTGGTGCATTCACCCAGAACTGAATAAATTCTAACTCTCCTCCACTCTTTACTAATTCTTTTGAAAAACGCTCACTATGAGTAATGCCTTTTCCTGCAAACATCCATTGAGTTCCTCCTTCTCCAACCAAGGCTTTGTTACCAAGTGAATCCTGATGATTCACTTCTCCCTTAAACACAAAAGTTACAGGAGAAAAGCCTCTATGTGGATGGGGGCCAACTCCAGCTTCTTGCTGTCTTTGCCCTCCCGGCAATTCACTTTTCCAATGATGGATTAATAAAAATGGATCCACGTAATCTAACCCTTGTACAGGTAAAGGTTGATCTAACATATGTCCACCCATATTAACTTTTTGGGCTGGTATTATCGTCTTTATTTTCTTAAACATTGTTTCTTTATTTTGATTATAAATAAAGACGGCTATTCAAGCTAATTCTTACAAATTATCAGCTCTTCCCGTCACAAAATAAACCGCTATTAAACAACTACATAGAAACAAAAAGCAAATCAATTACATCTTCTGAAGATTCCAGACTCTGAGAAGACAAATCCATTTTTATCCTTTTAGCTTTAGTTACCTGAACTTCACTTAAAGTTACAGCATTTGCATTATTAGTCCTCGTATCTAACTTTCTGATATCCGAATTATGCGATACAGTTGGAATAGCTTCGTCAGCCTCTAATTTAGGGCTTAGGACTTCAACTTTCTTAAGTTTAGTCTTAGCCCTAAGAGTATCTTGTTTCACCTGATACAGGTCATGGTATGAGCCATTATTAGGATAAGTTAGTTCTTCAGTTTTTTCCAACTGAATATCCATATCAATATTTTCCTCTTCTTTATCATCTGTCACTTCTACTAGGGCTGGAGACACCCTAGGAGGTATGGGTTGAGATTTTTCTAACTCTGAAAGTTCATTTCTTTCCTCCAAAGGGGCTATTTCGGGAGTATGAATGTCGTTTTTAGGTAAAGTATGCCTCTCTTCTTTAATTGTATTAATAGCCAATTTCCCAGGTTGACTTTCTATTCTATCTAATCCAATGTTGATTACAAACAAGAGCATCAAGGATAAACTTGCAAATTGAATTCCAGGCTTCTTGTAAAAAGGAACACCTGAAGGAAAAAGAAAAACTCCAAAACTATTAAGACTAAACCAACCAAATGGTTTCTTCTTTTGCTCCATCAACTTCATTAATTCAGATTTGATTCGATGTGGAACAACTAATTGATCTTGTTCTTCAGAATATTTCTTAATCGAAAGTAAAGTATTCCTTAATTCTTTATATTCTTGTTCAGATTCAACATGATTTAAGACAAACTCTCTCTCCTCTAGCAACAGTTCATCAAAAGACTTATTCATCAATAATTCTTCTATATCTTCTGGATTGTATGTGATTTTTTTATCCATATTTAATTAATTTAATGCCCCAATTACCATTAAAATTTTTACTAGTTGAGGTGCAAAATCTTTAAGGGAAACAGTCAATTTTTTCAGGGTATAGAATAACCTCGATTTAACTGTTCCTTCAGAGCAATCAAGTGTTTGAGCTATTTCTTTGATAGACATATCTTGAAAATAACGCATGACAAAAGTGGATTTTTGTTTCTCATCCAGTAAATCCAATTCTTGAGTTAATTTTTCACTAAACTGAGAGTCTTGTAATTTATCCATAGCATCCATTCCAGTATCTTTTATCTGATAATTTTCATCTAGCTCATAACTAGTACTTTTTCTATTGGCTTGCTTCCTATATTCATTTTTACACATATTGTTAGCTACTGAAAACATCCATGTTTTAAAGTTTCTTTTTACGTCAAAAAGCTTAGGTTTATGGATTATTTTAGTGAACAAATCTTGCATAAAATCCTCCGCTTTCTCTTGATCTTGCCATAACATTTTATAAAAATAATTTGTCAACATACCGCTATATCTATCGTATAATTCAGAAAAAGCCAAGCTGTCTTTTTCCATGACAAATTGCATCAATTCATTATCAGTATATGAGGTGTATTTTCCCATTAGCTATTGCTGTTTCATTAGCAATGTTTGTATTTGCTTTTGTTTCCCCGCATTCTTCCCCAGCTGTTTTATTATAGTAGTGATGTAATTATATTCAGATTCCCTATTATTTTTTTTATAATAATTGGACAATTGGATTAAAGGCAATACGTAATTTAAATTCATTTGCCTGTTTTTCAATGAAATGCTAGAGTTCGAAATGTACTTTTTACTAAACTTATTTTCCCAATTTGTTCTTAAAATTTCACTGTTATCAAAGGTGGTTCTGCTGTATTTTAAGGCAAGCCCGGTGGAATATAAATTGCCTTTTAATTCCTTCAACACTATATGAGAAATGGTGAGTGAATAATAAATAGGCTTTCTTCTATTTTTAACTGCTACGTCTTTTAGAATAGTAACATTAGTAGAATATGATTTGGAGAACCTTAACCCTAATTTATTTTTCACCTGATCCCGATAATTTTTATTCATCAGTAAATTATAATTCAAGATTTTAACATCTGTTCTGATATTTTCAAGACTCTGTAAAATCCATAGAGGATAAGTATCATCCTCTCCATAGGTCACCAAGATCCCATTTTGTTCTACAGACATCAAGGTATTATAAGCATACTCCTTGAGTGCTGGGGTTAAATTACTCTTCTTTAGCTTACTACAAAACTCTTTTTTCTTGAGTTTATCTCCTTTTAATTCATAATACTTCGCCAATTCAAAATACAACTCAGAATAGGTGGGGTTTAAATTATAAGCTAAGAGTAACGAATTGTAATCTTTATTAATTTCTGGACTGTTGAGGTATTGAGAATAATGAAAATTAAACGACTGGGTATCATACCTCTCCCCTTCTCCCTCGTTCAATTTATCTTTAGTATTCTTATTAAATCGAACCGAATATTTAGACAAAGTTCTAACTTGCTTCTTCTCTGTAGTAGATTGTCCTACTACCAATAAGGAAAAACAAAGGAGAAAAAAAACAATTAATAACTTTTTCATAAGCTTAAAAATAAGGGTTATGTTTGATTTACTGTACACTTAATTTCATAATTGGTTCAATTAACCGCAAAAAAAATCTCTCGATCAATATCGAGAGATTTTAACAATGACTATTTTTTCTAATTTTTATCCTTTAACTAAAATCCCTGAAGCAATAAAGATTGGTTCAATTTCTGGCTCAGTTACAGCATCATATTCTTTTTGCAACTCAGCTTTCTTTTCTTCAGATACATTTTCTCCTTCCATCTCATCCATGATGTAATGCTGAAGATCTGCAATAGAAGTAGTATCCATTTTAGCTTCTCCTACAAAAATTGCTTCCGTTCCAATTTCAGTATCAGTTGGAATAGTAAAGTGATCTTTAAACATTACTCTCATTTCAGAAGAATCAGGTAAGTTTACAATTACAAAACATCCTGCTTTAGCACAGATACTAGCTAATTCAGCTTTTACTGTACAATTGTCAGTGTTCCCTTCTGCTAAAGCTGTAGCAAAAGTATGAACATCCATTGGATGATCTGTATTCACTTTTTCTACTCCGTAATGAGTGAATCCCTCTACTTCTTGAATTGGCGTAGACTCGGTGGTCACTTCCTCCATTTCTTGGGTTACTTCCTCAACCACTTCTTTAGTTTCTCCGCAAGAAAATAGGACTGTTCCTGTTATAATTAGGGTAATAATTTTTTTCATGTTTGTTTTCTTTGTAATTAAAGTGTAAATATACGAGTTTATTAAGAAATATGGAAGTACTATTCAAGTGTTAAAAAGCATAAAAAAAGGCTAGAGAATATCCTTCTCTAACCTTTTAAACTGTTAATGTCTCTTTTTATAATCCTCCAAAAGTAATCCCAGCTGTAAATGGCATCAAATTGGTTCGTCCACTTGTACCCATTATCACTTTATCATTCATATTGGTTAATCCGTAATTTGCATAGATTCCTATTCCTTTGTACGCTAATCTAGCTCCCACAGATAATTTAATCGGTGCTACATTGTAATTCCCTTTGATGGTAGTTTTATATTCAGCATTCTCAATTGTATACTCTTGTTTTACTTTACTCCCAATGTTGTAACTAAACGTTCCTCCAAAAGCTACTTTCCATTTTTCATTATTGGTTTGAAACTTCAACATCAAAGGAATCTGAATGTAATTAGTCTTGAATTTATAAGAACCAAAACTAATGATTGAATCACTTTGAAAATAACCTTCGTTAGGGGTCACTTGTAAATTTTCTTTAAATACAAATCGATTAAAATCAAACCCAAAACCTGTTAAAAGGCCTATGTTTCGAGTAAAATTAATCATTAAGTTCCCATTAATTACGTAATTTCTACACTTAGAATAATCTAAATCTAATTTAGCTGTTGAAGTAGCTGCAACATCTTCTAGGGGACCATATTGAGTCACTTCAGTATTAAATCCTGTAACTCCCCAGCTAAAAGAAGTATGAAATTCTACGTTTGGATAATCGCTTCGATCATCGTCATCGTTTTCTTCATAGTCAAATTCTTTATCGTCAATTTTAATACTCTTCTTTTTTTTGTCTTTCACTATAATTTTTACATCTCCTAAATCGATTTCAGTTTCACCAGCTTCAGTCGTATCAGACTTAACCACTGTGGAATCAGATTGAGCTGTAATAGTAAAACTAATTAGGGCTAATAATAGGGTAATCAAATTTTTCATTTTTATTGTTTTTAAGGTTGTTTGTAAGTAGGACTATCAAGTGTAAAAAAAGTTACATCTATTTCCTTTTTTTTCTTTTTACTTTAAAATATCTTCCAATCTTAACTGTCTTTACTTCTTGTTTATCAGTACTTTTCTTGTTGTATTTAATGAATTTAGGTAACTTGATTGAACTTGATGCAAAGGACAATAAATCACCTGAAGATTTTATCTCACGCCCTGTTTTTTCAGAAGCATATTCACTCGATTTTTCCTTGATATATTCTCTTGGAGTCATTGACTTTCGTTTCGTTTCGTTAGAAGCTAACAACTGATCATTGAATTCTATTTCTTGATTTATTTTTGTTTCTTCGTCTAAGACAGGAAATTCGTTCTTAGCTAGGTTCATCTTTTCAATAATTTCTTCTTCTCTTTTAGACTCTTGAGTTAAAGAAGGCTGAGAAGAAGAGTTAGAAGGCAACGAAGTAAGTCTAGTACTAGTATTTTTTTCTTCTCGTGGGTCAACAATCGAATTGATATTTTCTTTAGGTTCTACCACTTCGTTGATTATTGGTGGTCTTTCCACCTCTATTTTATCCGCAAAAAAAGCAGGTTGAAGTGCCATATCATCCATCTTGATATTTACATAAAACAACAACAACATGGCAGCAGCAACCCCAATGGTAAGCCTGTAATACACTCCTATGCTCCTAGTTCGCTTTAATCTGCGCTTATGCGGAAAACTCATCAATTCAGGAACAAGGATTGTCTTCTCATAAGCTTCCATTTTCTGCCTTTTTTCAGGATTCTCACTGATGTATAAGGCTAACAGTTTTTCTTGTTCTTGAGATAAATCTTGTTCTATTTTTCCAATGAAAAAATCATCTTCATTCTCCTCATTAATAAGAGCTTCTTTTTTTAAAAAAGAAAAATCTAAAGAAGGTTCTGAGGCTTCACTTAATTGCAACTCATCAGAACAAATCAAATCTAACTCTTCCTTTAGGTCGGGATTCTCTATTAAGAAATTTTCGACCATAGCTTTTTCATTGACGGAAAGATTTCCTTCCAAATAATCAATAAAAAAAAGTTCATAATTGTTTCTTGTTATCATCCTAATACTGTTTCTATGCTAACTAAATAGCGTTGTAATGCCTTCCTTGCTCTGTATATATACACTTTGACTTGTGATTCTTTGAGTTTTGTTATTCCTCCTATTTCTTCATAAGAGTACCCCTCATAATCTCTCAATAAAATAACACTTCTTTGAATCTCTGGCAATGTATTTAGCGCTTCCTCTAATACTTCACTTAACCCCGAATATTCTCGATTATAAGTTTGTTCATACTCCCTTTCATTTTCAAAATGAGAAACTCGTTGATCTTTTTTAATCACATCAAGCATAGTATGGTAAGCCGCTGTAAATAAGTATGATTTTATTTTATCATAACTTATTTCATCTACTCTGTTCCATACTTTCTCAAATACGTCTTGAATCACGTCTTGTGATCTCTCAGAATCTTTCATGTTTTTATACACAAACCGATATAATCTATCTGCGTATAAGTCAACACTTTTATTATATTCGTTTAGGGTCATACTTCGAAGTTATATAATTAAGACGGACTAACTATTAAAAAAGTTACAGCTAATTTAAAAAAAACAACCAAACAGGTTTAGAACCGTATATTAGTCATAACATTTTACTATCAGAATGGTAACCAATAATATAAATTAACTTATTTTTGACCAGTAACACTTATCAACTTAACATGAAAAAAATCGTACTTTTAATCAGTCTTGTTTCCTTTGGAACATTAGCTATTAGCCAAACTATAAACTCAACTAACATTGTTGGATTGGGTGATACCGTTTACAATGCTACCGACAATGCCCCTAGTATTAACATAGGAACTGCAGGGACGGGAAACACTTGGAATTTCTCTTCTTTATTAATTAATAAAAGAGATACCATCGTCTTCACTCACCCTCTCAGTATTCCTTGTGCTACAACCACTTTTAGCAGTGCTACTCATAAATTTAAACAGGATACAAATTTTGCTTTTCTTCAAAAAAAGTCTGCTTCTTTGGAATTAATAGGAATTTCAAATGGGACGATTTGTGTGGCTTCAGAGAATACGGAAACCATCATTAAATTCCCTAGCTCTTATAACAGTAATTTTACAGATATTTCCAGAACCAAAACTGTCGTGGCGGGTGCCACTGCTGGATACCCAGCAGTTGATTCAGTGAAAGTAATCAGTGTCACAAATATTACTTCTAATTTTAATGCTTCTGGAACCTTAACTACTCCTTATGGTGTTTTTTCTACAATTAGACAGTATTTAGTGAGACGTACTACTGATACTATTTATGGGAAATCAGCCTTAACAGGGGGGGCATATGTGCTTTTACTCACCCAAAAAGACACAGCTTATAGCCATCAATACTGGTCTGACCACGCTAATGCAAAATTTCCTTTAGTCTCTTATGACATCAATGCAGCTGGAGCTTTGACAGGAGATGTAATTTGGACTATGAGGTATGCAGCTAATGCTTATGCATCCGTTAATAAAATTGAGAAAAAAGAAATTTCTGTATTTCCTAATCCAGTTAGAAATGAATTAATAATTGAGAATGATGACATCATAGAAGCTATTACGATTACCAATATAGCTGGGAAAGTAGTCTACCAATCTGAACAAAACAATGAAAAGAAAATTGACGTTAATTTTCTTCCTGAAGGGGTATATGTGTTAACAGTTAAAACTGCTGACTATGTTGGGACTACAAAGTTTATAAAACAACAATAGTGTATTAGATAATTCTACCATTTAAAAGCGATAAGATACCTTATCGCTTTTTTTATGCAATGACTCCAGAACCTAAAAGCTCTTCCTCTAGATACCAAGCTGCAAATTGTCCAGCAGTTATTCCTCTTTGAGGGTTTTCAAACTGAATAAACAAGTCTTCCTTTTGTTGTATCAATGTAGCCTTTTCAAGATCTTGTCTGTACCTGATTCTTACTAAACAATCCAATCTTTCTCCTGAAGTTAATTTTAAATCTTCTCGTATCCAGTGTATTTCTTCCTTATTAATCTTCAAAGCTTTTCTATATAAGCCTGGATGATGGTCTCCTTGGCCTACGTAAACTATATTTTCTTTTACATCAGTGCCAATCACAAAAAGAGGTAAAGGTGTTCCTCCAACTCCCAATCCTTTTCGCTGCCCAGTAGTAAAATAATGAGCTCCGTTGTGTTCTCCCTTGTCTTTTCCGACTTCGGGTTGATAAGTAAATGGAGTTGCTAGTTCCTCAATTTCGATTCGATTCTGGTACTCTTTATACGCACCAAACGTTTCTGGAACCTCTATAATTCTACCTTTCTTTGGCTTTAATTGTTGCTGAAGAAAATCCGGTAATTTTATTTTTCCAACAAAACACAATCCTTGTGAATCTTTTTTATTAGCCGTGAGTAAGTCTTGATTCTTGGCAATTTCTCTCACTTCACTCTTTTGCAATTCTCCAATTGGAAAAATTGCCTTAGATAATTGAAACTGGTTGAGCTGACATAAAAAGTAACTTTGATCTTTATTATCGTCTTTTCCAGCTAAAAGTTTATGCATTTCCTCCCCTTCGATGATTTCTGAATCTTTTCTACAATAATGACCAGTAGCTACGAAATCAGCTCCAAGTTTTAACGCTGCCTCAAGGAATACATCAAATTTTATTTCTCTGTTGCATAAAACATCTGGGTTTGGAGTTCTTCCTGCCTGATATTCAGTAAACATATAGTCTACTATTCGTTCTTTGTATTCAGCACTTAAATCTAAAGTTTGGAAAGGAATCCCTAATTGTTCTGCTATTCCTAAAGCATCATTACTATCATCTATCCAAGGGCATTCATTATTAATCACTACCGTTTCATCGTGCCAGTTTTTCATAAACAAACCAATCACGTGATATCCTTGTTCCTTTAATAAATAAGCTGCTACACTGGAATCAACTCCTCCAGACAATCCAACGACAACTGTTTTAGGCATTTTTTTTTGTTTTTGAGGGACAAAGTTAGGCTATTTTACCTAAAGAATTTTAATTCTAGTGCAGAAGAAATGTTCTCTTCAAGACAATTACAAATTCTCATTTAGTTTAGCTATACCATCATTTCCTAGGATAATAGGTAATTCCTCCACTCTATTAGCTTCAGGTCCATTTTCCAGTTTAAGTACTCCTCTTGGACACACAGCACTACAAACTCCACATCCTACACAAGAAGACCGAACTATGTTTTGTCCTTTTTGAGCATACGACCTAACATCAATTCCCATTTCACAGTATGTTGAACAATTTCCGCAAGAGATACATTGTCCTCCATTTGTAGTAATCCTAAATCGTGATTTGAATCGTTGAACTAACCCTAAATAAGCTGCTAATGGACATCCAAAACGACACCATGATCGATTTCCTAAAAATGGATAGAAGCCAGTCCCAATAACTCCCGAAAATACTGACCCTATTAAAAATCCGTACGTTTTTTGAACCGTAAAGGTGTTTATCCCCAATACCATTGAAGCTCCAGAAAAAAATGAATAAAGTGTTAACACGGTCATAAGAACCACAAATACTAATACTCCATGTATCAACCACCTTTCTAGCTTCCATGCTTTTAATGATTTATCCGATAATTGTCGGTATGGATCCCCTAATGTTTCAGCTAAGCCTCCACATCCACACACCCAAGAACAATACCATCGCTTTCCAAAAAAGTAAACAAAAACAGGAACTCCAACTGCAAATAAAGCTATTCCCCATACTAACATAAAGATTCCTAACTTTCCATTAGCTATTAAACTATTGATATTCCAGTCAAAGAAAAAATCATAATCTAACGGCCACATATTTTTGAAATCAAAATAAGGTTGGTTCAATCTCACTAAAATTTCTGGGATTAAAAAAGCAAATCCTATTTGAAAAAATAAGACTGAGATTGTCCTTACAATTTGATATTTGTTGTGTCGATACTTAATGATCATCCTAATCCCCATTACGAGCATTGCCACACAATACAAAAATCCATATAAAAACCATTGAGAAGCTTTATTCCCACTGAGAGATTCACTAATAGGATCTACCATCAGTACCCAATTAGTTAGGTATTGTGGGAACCAATAAAGAAGAATATAAAAGACGATTAAAAATGTCCCGATGATGATTCCTATAACTCCACGGTTAGTTGCTGAGTTATGATAGACTCCATCATTTTTAATTCCAGGATATTTTTTAAGCTCAGGAAGAATATAAGCTAAAGCCCCTATAGATCCTAAAATAATAGTTAATAACAATACTAACCCTTTATTCTCTGCAAAAAAACCAACACTGGAAGCTTTAGTTAATTGAAATTTAACCTCCGTCATGTAATCAAGATTAAACCCTTTATCTCTTAAAATACTACTATTAATATCGGAAACTTTATTTGTTAGCTTATCCTCTAAATCAGTAATCGAAGGGATTTCCTGACCAAATAACCAATTAAGATTATCCGTTAATTGTTTATTCTTGAACGAGTTTATTTCATTTTCTTTTGGAAAAACTTTGTCTATACTGCTTTGATTGAATTCAATTTTATTGTCTATTGTAGAATGATAAATAATGTTAGTTACATCCTCTTTTTTTATGCCTGACTCATTTAAAATGAGTTCATTTGATTCTTTAGCTATCTCGTTAATCTGATGTACAAAAGGAAATTGACTCCCAAAAACCTTACCCTCATTTTGCTGATAGGTCTTTGTTTTTAAAACATAATCTGCACGTTTTGGTAAAGTAGCCTCAATAACTTCTTTGTTAAACTGAAATTTACCAAAAGTAATTGCGCTGATAAAAAAACCAAAAGCTAGTATAAAAATCCCTAAACCAATTTTTTTCATGTTGATGACTTTTTTTTGAATATACCGAAAACAACACGGTAATGAAAGTTAAATCGGTTCAAGTTCACAAAACATACAATTTAGGAGAAAATATTTTTGCTACCTTTAAAACTAATAAGCATTATCATCCTAACTATGAAATTAATATTTACCTTTTTTCTTCTTTTAATCATGCAGCTAGGAGTTTCTCAATCTCAATGTGATACTTTAGTAAATAAAATAATGATGGTTGGAGATAGCTGGTCAAATTTCCCTGTTGGCTTTGGTTCGTTTCCTAATAACCTAGATCGTTATGGATTTACAAATGTAGGAATGTACAGTAACACTACTGATTTATCTTTGAATGGAGCCGAAACCAAGACTTTTTTAACTCCAGCGGGAAAAATGGCTATACAAAATGCAATCACTGCTAATCCCAAAATTGAGGTAGTCAATTTGAGTATAGGCGGTAATGACATCCTTAATACTTGGAATAACTCCATGGATTCATTGACTACAGATTCTCTTCTTGATGCCACTTTACTGAGAGCGGACAGTATTGTTGACTACATTATTTCACTCAAATATGGGGTTAAAGTATATCTTGCTGGCTACGATTTTGCCAATTTTGGAGAGGTTATTCAAACATTTTCAGTCCCTACTTCTCACCCCTTTTATAATCGGTGGAGCAGAATGGGCTTCCCTACTTTTATTGAACTGAACAAATTACTCTCTAGAGCTTCAGTAAAATATCAAGCCTTAGCAAATAGTAAAAGTGACGTATACTTCAACAGCACTATTGGCCTCATGCAATATTTATATGGACAAACCACTCCTTTGGGAGTTGCTCCTAGCGGGACCTATTTACCTAGATCCGTTACCTTTCCAGGGGGAAGATTAGACTATCCCACTCCTAAAATTATGATGAATAATTACGGCCTTTTTAGGGATTGTTTTCATTTAAGTAGTGAAGGCTTCGATGCCATTTATAATTACCATTTTCAACAATTTTATTTTGACTTTTTAAGAAAGGAAGTCGATGCCAGCATAACTTCTGAGGGGAGTTTATCGGATGGTGGAGTAAGTTCGACTGGAGCTACTACTACCTCAAATATTAATATTGGAAACTCTTCTTCTACAGGAATTTTTAAGGGAATCGTTAGTTTTAACACGAGCACTTTACCTACTAGCACTTTAATTCATAGAGCCAATCTCTTTTTATACAGAGATAATCATACTGGAACCCTTCCTGCGTTTAATCAAGTTATCCTCGAGGTGAAACGAGGAAATTTTGGGAGCACCTCTTCTATTGAAGTAAGCGATTACAGCAGTTTGGCTAGCAAGAAAGATACAGCATGTACCTATGGAACGATTAAAAATAATGGATTTTGGCTTCGGATTGATGTTCCTAAACAATTGTTAACCGAAATCAATACGTCTGGAAAAACTCAGTTCAGAATTTCTATGATAGATACTACAGATGGAAGTACTTTTTATTTCTCAACAGGTGATTCTACTAATAAACCTTTTTTAGATCTAGAGTTTTATAATCCAGCATCAATTAACTCTGACTCTCCAAAAAATTCATTGATCATCTTTCCTAACCCTACCAATTCAGAGTATATATCTCTTCAAAGTAATTCCGATTTCAAAGGAAAAATTACAGCAGTAGATGTTACAGGAAGACGATTCCCCTTGTCTTATTCGAATTCTCAAATTTCAATCTCTCACTTGTCCGCTGGTACATACTTCCTCATTTTTGAAGATGGGAAAGAACATTTCACTAAGAAATTTGTAAAGATCAACTAACAAAAGCTATTCTATTTATCTAACCTATTTAAAGCTTCAACGGCTGGTTCGTAATTAACTTCAAGCTCCAAGATTCTTTTGTACTCAGATTTTGCCTTAGAAACGTTGCCCATTTCTTCATAACACACAGCTCGGTTATAAATGGCATCGATGTAATTAGCGTTCTGCTTAAGTGCTTCTTCAAATTGCAGAAATGCTTCCTGTATTAACGAATCATTTTTTTGCTTAGAATTTTCCTTATAACACAGCTTCAACAAGCTACTTCCTAGGTCATAATGAGCAACATAAAAAGTAGGATCATAACTCAATATAGTATCAAAGCATATTATTGCCTCTTCATACTCTTCATGCGTGTAATAACTCATTCCCTTTAGCCGCCATGCTTCAATTTGTTTATCACTTCTATTGGGATAAATGGTTAAAGCAGAATTAAAGTATTGAATGGCCAGTGGATTGTCCATCTTATCATGTAAAGCTCCCAAAGCTAAGTAAGCCTCGTAATAATTGGGATTCCTTTCAATGGCTGTCTGGTAAGAAGAAATCGCTAATTCATTTCTATCTTGCTGTTCGTACCACATCCCTTTTAAATAATAAGGCCTTGACAAAAATTTATCTTTCTGAATAATCCTATTAATTAAATTCAGTGAAGGTTCGTAATTCTTTCCTGCTAAATAATAATAAGCCAATTCTAAATTTGCATTAGTATGCAAACTATCAAGCTCAACAGCTCGCTCTAAAAAAGGAATTCCTAATTCTAACTTATTAAGTTTGACATAAATTTGCCCTTTCAACAAATTAATATTTGGATTCGAAGGAGCTATTTTAAGCGCTCTATTAATGTCCTTAAAAGCCGACTCAGGGTCATTTGTTTGATAATAATAATTGGCCCTTTTATAATATCCTTCCTCTGAATTAGGATTAGCTATAATTAGCTCTTCAATCTGTGTTAGTGGTTTTTTACTGACAGAATCTTTCATCTTCTCTGTCGAATTAGAAGAAGGTCTATTAACAGGTTTCACTTCTCCTTTACAAGAGAAAAGAAGACCAACAGTCATAAGGATGAGTATATTTTTCATGACTATAAACGTATTAAAACTTTGGTTGATAATAGAAAAAAATGCTCCTAAAAAGGAGCATTTTTACACAGGTTAAAAAATTATTTATTCAGCTTCAGAAGCTATTAATTCATAAATTTTAGTTTCTAATTCTTCCATTAGTTCAGGATTGTCAGCTATTAAATCTTTAACAGCGTCTCTTCCTTGACCTAATTTAGTCTCTCCATAACTAAACCAAGAACCACTTTTCTTTACAATATTTTTATCCACAGCAATGTCCAAAATTTCACCTGTCTTAGAAATTCCTAATCCATACATAATATCAAATTCGGCCTTACGGAATGGAGGTGCTACTTTATTTTTAACCACTTTTACCCTCGTTCTATTTCCAGTTACATCTTCCCCTCCCTTAATTTGGGTAGATCTTCTAATGTCCAATCTAATAGAAGAATAAAACTTAAGTGCATTTCCCCCAGAGGTAGTTTCTGGGTTTCCAAACATCACCCCTATTTTTTCTCTTAATTGGTTAATAAAAATACAACAGGTATTTGCCTTACTAATGGAAGCCGTCAATTTTCTTAATGCTTTAGACATTAATCTTGCTTGTAATCCCATTTGTGAATCTCCCATCTCTCCTTCAATCTCAGCTTTTGGGGTCAAGGCTGCTACTGAATCAACAATGATTAAATCAATAGCTCCTGAACGAATTAAATTATCCGCAATTTCCAATGCTTGTTCCCCATTGTCGGGTTGTGAAATAATTAAATTATCCACGTCAACTCCTAAAGCTTTTGCATACACAGCATCAAATGCGTGTTCAGCATCTACAAACGCACATATACCTCCTTGTTTTTGACATTCTGCTATTGCATGAATGGTAAGGGTGGTTTTCCCTGAAGATTCTGGTCCATAAATTTCAATAATTCTCCCTTTGGGATATCCTTTAACTCCTAAAGCCATGTCTAAGGTTAAAGAACCAGAAGGAATGACTTCTACATCTGCCACTGCTCTATCTCCTAATTTCATCACAGCTCCTTTTCCATACTGCTTTTCCATTCTTTCCATGGTAGCTTGTAGAGCCTTTAATTTATCACTATTTACTGCTTTTGTTTTAGTTGCCATCTTTATTCCTTTTTTATTTTTATGTATAAATTACCTCTCTAGTTCTATTCTGCCAGAATTTGAGCGGTATGATCTTTTGTTTTTACTTTTTCAATGATATCAGCTATGATTCCTTCTTCGTCAATAACAAAGGTCATTCGATGAATACCATCATATATTCTTCCCATAAATTTTTTCTCCCCCCAAACTCCATAATCATTAATGATTTTTTTATCCTCATCCATCAATAAAGAGAAAGGAAGATTAAATTTTTCGATAAACTTCTGATGAGATTTTGCAGAATCTGCACTCACCCCCAGAACTTCGTATCCCCTTTTTAAGAGAAGGTCATAATTGTCTGTTAAATTACACGCCTGTGTAGTACATCCAGGAGTATTATCTTTTGGATAGAAATACAACACGACTTTCTTACCCTTAAAGTCTTTTAACGAAATGGCTGCTCCATCTTGATTAGTTGTATTAAAGTCAGGAGCTTTATCTCCAATTTTTAAATGTTTCATTAATTTATATTAATTCGATGAAATATTGAATGTTAACCCAGAAAAAAACTACTGAGAAAAGAAAAAAACGAGTTATTTTTATCATTCAAAGCAAGTCATTAGGCTTTACCAAAGTTACTAATTTATTTGTTCGGATTATTGATAATATTAATTCTTTTTTGACATTATTTTTGGTATTTTGTCGATTCAAAAATTTGATACAATGAAACAAAAAATTCTTTTCTTTTTTATCCTTACTACGAGTCTATCATTTAGCCAGTGTTATTGGCAACAAAAAGTGTCCTATACCATGGACATTGATTTTGATGAGACCAAACACCAATTTAAAGGAAAACAAAAATTAGTCTATACCAACAATTCTCCTGATGAATTAACTCAAGTTTTTTATCACTTATATTTCAATGCTTTCCAACCGGGAAGCATGATGGATGTTCGTTCATTAACTATAACAGATCCTGATAAGCGAGTAGGCGATAGAATTTCAAAACTCAAACCAGAAGAACAAGGATATCAAAAGATCAATGCACTGACTATGAACGGAAAAAAAACCGATTTCAAAGTCGTTGGAACAATTTTAGAAGTCAATTTACCCACCGCTATTAAACCGGGAGAATCTGCTACTTTTGATATGGATTTTGAAGCACAAGTTCCTATACAAATCCGAAGAAGCGGAAGAGACAACAAAGAGGGAATCGATTATTCCATGACCCAGTGGTACCCAAAAATGAGTGAATATGATTATGAGGGTTGGCATGCGAATCCATACGTAGGAAGAGAATTCCATGGTGTATGGGGTGATTTTGATGTGACTATTCACTTAGATAAAAAATATACCATTGGAGGAACTGGAGTACTTCAAAACCCTAAAGAAATTGGAAAAGGATACACCTCCGAAAAAGTGACACAGAAAGTGGATGAAAAGAATAAACTTTCTTGGCATTTTGTAGCCAAAAACGTTCATGACTATGCTTGGGCAGCCGATCCAGATTATAAGCATGACATTAAAACATTGAATAACGGAACCCGAATTCATTTCTTTTACCAAATAGATACCCTGATTGAAAACTGGGAGAAATGTCAAGATTACACCGTTCGCGCTTTTGAGTATGTAAATAAAAAATATGGGGAATATCCTTACTCCGAATACTCCATCATTCAAGGAGGTGACGGGGGAATGGAATATCCAATGGCTACTCTAATTACCTCACATGGTTCTTTTGGAGGGTTGGTAAGTGTGATTATTCATGAAGGATTACACAGCTGGTATCAAGGTATGATGGCAACTAACGAATCCAAATACCCATGGATGGATGAAGGATTCACTTCCTATGCGCAACACGATGCCATGGATTATGTGTATGGCACAAATGCATTGAATCCACATTACAGATCACACAGAAGTTATCACTATTTGGTTAAATTAGGAGAACAAGAACCCCTGACTACTCATGCGGATCATTACAAGAAAAATAGAACTTACGGAATTTCTGTTTACTCAAAAGGAGAAGTTTTCTTAGATCAATTGGAATACATTTTGGGAGAGAAAGATTTTGAAAAAACAATGTTAGAGTATTACAATCAATGGAAATTCAAACACCCAAATGCAAACGATTTTAAGCGAGTGGCTGAACAAGTTTCAGGGATAGAGTTAGATTGGTATTTGGAACAATTTATTGGGACTACCAATTTCATTGATTATGGCATTGATAGCATTTCTGTATGCGACAAAAAAACTACCCGATTGCACTTACAACGATTTGGAGACATGCCTATGCCTCTAGACATTGTGATTACTCTAAAAAATGGCAAAACAAAGGTTTACAATATTCCTTTGGCAATTATGAGAGGATCAAAAACTCAGTCCAAATACTCAAACTACAAAGTTGCATCTGAAGATTGGCCATGGACAAACCCTTCTTTTAATTTATGCGTAGATATAAAAATTGACGACATTTCGAACATCGAAATTGACCCAAGTCTTAGACTTTCGGATGTCAATAGAAAGAACAACCATTTTCCAAGAAAAGTAAGAAAGATTGAAAAGTAAGCGAGACTATTCCTTAGCTAGGAAACTAAACAAAAAAAGAGACTCAAATGAGTCTCTTTTTTTATGGCTATTAATCGCTTTGTTAATTCTTCATCGTTACTACTCGTTGTTCAAATGGTGCTTCAAATCCAGCATCTCCTAATTGTTTTACAATTTCTCCTCTCAGCCCCCAAAACACATCCCAATAATCTGCTACTGTAGTAAACGGCAATGCAGTAAGTTGAATGTTGCTGGTAGTTAATTCGGTCACATACACACTTGGTGCAGGGTCTTGTAAAACAACAGGTGAGTTTTTAAGTATGTTCAACACGATCTCTTTTGCTTTATCCACATCACTCCCGTAACGAATAGCAAAAGGAATATCAGCTCTTACGTTTCCAATCTTAGAATAATTCTTAATATTCCCACCTAATAAAGGACCATTAGGAATAAAAACTGTTTTATTTTGGAAGGTTTCAATTTGAGTAACAAATACTGATAGTTCTCTCACAAATCCTAATTCACCTTGTACCTCTATCAAATCTCCTACTTTAAAAGGGCGGAAAATGAGTAATAAAACTCCTGAAGCAAAATTACCTAAAGTTCCCTGTAAGCCCATTCCTATAGCAAGTCCTAATGCCCCTAACAAAGCAACAAAAGAAGTAGTGGCTACTCCTACCTGACCGGCTACAGCTATAAATAGCATGGCTTTCAATAAAAAAGTCAATAGAGTAATTAAAAAAGGCTGAAGAGTAGTATCTATCTGTTTTCTATCTAATAATTTCCCGATGCCTTTCATAGCTAATCGAATAATCCAAAGACCAATAATTAAGGTAATGATGGCTCCTATTAATTTAGGACCATAAGTATACCCAAAATTAGTAATTTGTTCCATAAAGGTTAATCCTGAATTAGATACTACATCCGTAGCTTCTGTAACGGCTCCTGTAGTTTCTGATACTTGTAATGACATAATCTGCTAGTTTTATAGTTAATAAGGATAAATATGAATATTATTTATTGAGAAAAAATTTAATTAACAAAACTTTTAGAAATAGTTAAAAACATCCTGCATGAGAATACTTAGACCCCCTGATTAATTTGTACTTTTAAAACTTCCAATTAAATGAATTAAACTTATGGCTAAAGAAGCAGTTAAAGAAACTCCTTTAATGAAACAATACAACGCTATTAAAGCAAAGCATCCCGATGCTGTTTTGTTATTTAGAGTAGGAGATTTTTATGAAACATTCAAAGAGGATGCGCTCATTGCTTCACGGGTTTTAGGGATCGTTTTAACCAAAAGGAAAAATGGAAAAGCTGCCCACATAGAATTAGCCGGTTTCCCTCATCATTCTCTTAACACCTATCTACCTAAATTAGTAAGGGCGGGATACCGAGTTGCTATATGTGACCAATTGGAAGATCCTAAAATGACTAAGAAAATTGTCAAAAGGGGTGTTACTGAACTAGTAACTCCCGGGGTTACCTTCAACGACAACGTGCTGGAACAAAAGAAGAACAACTTTTTAGCAGCAGTCCACTTTACCAAACACATCATTGGGATTTCATTTTTAGATATTTCTACTGGAGAGTTTCTGGTTGCCGAAGGTTCTGCTGAATACATTGATAAATTAATTCAAAGTCTAAAACCTACTGAGGTTCTTTTCCAAAAAGGAAATCAAAAGAAATTTAATGAACTCTTTGGAAATAAATTTTACTTCTTTCAATTAGACGATTGGGTATTCACCCAAGATTTCTCCTCTGATTTATTAACGAAACAATTCAACACCAAAACTCTGAAAGGATTTGGAGTGGAAGATCTTAAAGTGGCTACTATTGCTGCGGGTGCCGCTCTCCATTATCTATCTGAGACGCATCACAAGGAGTCCAAACACATCTCAACTATTTCTCGTATTGAAGAAGATCATTATGTTTGGCTGGATAGGTTTACTATTAGAAACCTGGAACTCATTTCTTCGAATAATCAAGATGCTACCACCCTAATTGATGTACTAGACAAAACAGTTTCCCCTATGGGAGGAAGGCTATTGAAAAGGTGGATGTTATTGCCTCTTAAAAACACTCAATCCATTGCCAAACGACATGAGGTGGTAGAAGGACTTGTTCAAAATCAAGAGCTACTCCAAGAGTTAACAGGAAATATCAGTCAAATTAGTGACTTAGAACGGTTAGTCTCAAAAGTAGCAATTGGAAAAATCTCTCCACGAGAAGTCAATCAACTTAAAAACTCCTTAGATGCTTTAGTTCCTGTCAAAGAACTAAGTACTAATTCTAAGATTAACTCACTTAAACTCCTTGGTGAACAACTTAACACCTGTGATTCATTAAGAGCTAAAATTGACAGCGAATTATTTGAAGATGCTCCCGTTCTCCTTAACAAAGGAAATGTGATTAAAGAAGGGGTAAATAAAGAATTAGATGAATTAAGAAAAATTGCTTTTTCGGGGAAAGACTATCTATTAAGCTTACAACAACGAGAAAGTGAACGCACAGGAATCTCCTCCTTAAAAATTGCTTTTAACAACGTATTTGGTTATTACATTGAAGTACGAAATACCCATAAAGATAAAGTCCCAGAGGAATGGATCAGGAAGCAAACCTTAGTGAATGCTGAACGATACATCACCGAGGAATTAAAAGAATACGAATCAAAAATTCTGGGTGCTGAAGAGAAAATTTTAGTCTTAGAATCTTCCATTTTTGAAAATTTAGTGCTCGAACTTTCTGATTATACAGTTCCTATCCAGCACAATGCCAATTTAGTAGCTCAAATAGATTGTTTATCCTCCTTTGCTACTCAAGCCATTCAATTCAATTATTGTAAACCTCTGGTGGATGATTCTACCCAGCTTACTATAAAAGAAGGACGTCACCCTGTAATAGAAACCTGTTTAGAAGCTGGTGAAGAATACATCCCTAACGATATTTTCTTGGACGATACCTCTCAACAAATTATCATGATTACTGGGCCTAACATGTCAGGTAAATCAGCTATTTTGAGACAAACTGCCTTGATTGTGTTGATGGCTCAAATGGGAAGTTTCGTTCCTGCACACTCCGCTCATCTTGGATACGTGGATAAAATATTTACCCGTGTAGGAGCTTCTGACAACATTTCTTCCGGTGAATCTACCTTTATGGTAGAGATGAATGAAACTGCCAGTATTCTGAATAATATTTCAGAACGAAGTTTGATTTTATTGGACGAAATTGGTCGTGGAACCAGTACGTACGATGGAATTTCTATTGCTTGGAGTATTACGGAATATATCCACGAGTACCCACAGAAGAAAGCGAAGACCTTGTTTGCAACTCATTACCACGAACTCAATGAGATGCACAAGCAATTCCCTCGGATTAAAAACTACAACGTTTCGGTAAAAGAAATCGATAAGAAAATCTTATTCATGCGTAAACTGGTAGAAGGAGGCAGTAACCACAGTTTTGGAATTCATGTAGCCAAAATGGCTGGAATGCCTGGTTTTGTGATTAAAAAAGCGGAAGAAATACTAGATAGACTTGAAAAGACTCATGGAGACAGCAACCAAGAAGTCAAGAAAACCTTGGGAGAGAAAAAAGACGAAATGCAATTGAGCTTTTTCAATTTGGATGATCCCATTCTGGAAGATATCAGAGATGACATTGCGAATGTTGACATCAATACCTTAACTCCGGTTGAAGCCTTGATGAAATTGAATGAGATCAAGAAGAAGTTAGGATAGAATTTTATTTTTCTTGATTAATCCATTTATTCTTTTAAAGGACTTAACTATATTTATAATCAGAAATTTAAGTCTTGAATGAAAAAAAGTGATATAAATATTAAGAATGTTTTATTGATCTTTTTACCAAGTTTATTATTTTTTATTTTAAAAAAGCCTTTTTATTTAGCTATAGAGAATCGATTCTTAATTAACCCTAATTTTTCCAACTTAGTTTTTGATCTTTTATTTATTACTGTAATTTTTACAGTAATCGTTTTACTAATAATAAAGTTTAGAGGCAAAAACCGATACATCCCCTCTAAATTAGAGTTCTACCTCTTGTTTTTGACATTATCAACATTAACATTAGTCTATTTTTTTCCAAGCAAAGAATGGGAATTCTTAGAAATTAAAAGCATATCTTGGTTAGTAAGACTTGATTACGTTTTTCCAATATACATGATCCTTCTATTTACACTTATTGGAGGAGCAATAAACGCTAATTGGAAAAAAAACATACCAGATTCACTTAACAATTTTTTATTAGAAGATAATCCTAGAACCCCTGATAATGGAGTCGAATTCGAAAATAGCAACCTAGCTACAAAACTTTTTAAAGTTATATCGAAAAATAATTTTGAAAAATCATTTAGCATCGGAATCATAGGGCCTTGGGGAAATGGAAAATCAAGCCTTCTAAATTTCATTTCTTCTAAAATAACCTCGCATAATAAAAGCAATAAAGAGAAGATTATTCAAGTGCATTTTTCCCCTTATTTAATTCATTCTGATGATTATGCTAGAGGTTTCTTAAGTGTTTTATCTCAAGAACTTTCTCCTTACAATGGTAACATCTCGGAACTTTTTCACAGATATGCGAAAAGCATTTCCAACATTAATAAATATTTCAAAGTTATAGAACTACCCAAAGAAAAAGATAATTCATCCACTGATTTATACGATCAAATTAACCTTGGAATTGAAAGAATAAATAAAAAAATTGTTGTTTACCTCGATGACTTAGATCGATTAGACGATAAAGAAATATTACAGATATTAAAATTAATACGTAATTCTGCAAATTTTAAAAACACAATCTTCTTAGTAGCTATGGATAAGGAGTATATTCTGAAAAGACTTTTAAGTAGTAATAAAAATTTAAATATAGTTTTTATAGATAAATTTTTCCAGTTAGAGGTTTATTTACCTCAGATATCCAATGACGAATTAGCAAAATATTTTATTAAAAAAATCAATTGCTCCAACTTATTAAATAGTCAAGAGAAAGAATCAATTATTGATTCTTTAAATCATGAAAGAATAATGTTTAAGGAATATGTGAAAAATTTCAGAGATATAAAAAAAATATTTAATCAAATAGTTTTCGAAACTCAGTTTCTGTCTGGAGAAATCTCCATTACAGATTTAATAAATTTCATTCTACTTAAGACAAAATTTCCTACGATAATACCTTTGATTGTTAAAAATGAAGGTTACTTTTTTGATACTAAAAATGGGATATATGAGCTAAGAAAGATAGAGCTTCCAGAAAAAAAAGATTTTTATAATTTATTATTTTCCAATCTTTCTAGATTCAAACTTAATTTGGCAGAATATGAAATTTATTCATATTTCATGGATAAAGATCAAGAAATAACAAACGATATAACACACTTAGGAAAAAGTGAGAAAAAAATCATCTTAGCAACTTTAATTAGACTATTTGGAGATACTAAGCCCATCAAATTCTCTTCTATCAAACACAGATCTAATTTTAGAAAAATTATGCAACAAAAACTTCTTGAAGAAGATGTTTCTACCAATGAATTTGAAATACTTATTAAATCACCTGATTATAAAAATATTATTAAAAATAAATATACTTCAATTAAAAAATTAAAAAACCTTATAACTAGAACAGAATACTATACTTCAAAAAACAATATCGAAAAGAGAAAAATACTCAATATATATTCAGTTCTATTAAATAAATTTAATGAAGCAAATGATGAAGATTTCGACTTATTAAGATTAATAGGCAACATTGCGGGGATTGAAAAATTTTATACTGAAAACAATGAATACTTATTAAACGATTTTTTTGGTAAAAATTCAGTTTTATCAAACTATAACAAACTTATTATTTTAGGAACAATATGGTATTCAAAAGATGAGAATATATTATGGGGGATTGACTCTAAACAATTTGAAGAATTGACTATTTCTACATTTAAGAGATATTTAGATGAACACAATGGGAATTCAATTTGGGAAGCAGGTGACTTTTCATTTTTCAGGGTATATCATACAATCAAATATATCGATTCAATAAAAAAAGATAGGAATAAATTAATTAAAGAGTTTTGGATTGAAAATGATTTAGAAATTCTGTTTTCTCAAATGATCAAAATGTCAAGTTTTGATTTAAATGTCTATGAAATTATTTCAGTTGCTGAAGAAATATTCGGAAGTAAAATAGACTTCATTCATTTTATCTTAAAACATAGAGATATTAATACTCCTAGCGGGGCCGAAATATCTAAATACCTGAATTTAAGTCTAATTATTAATTTTAAAAGAAATATCTGTTTTAAATTCATTAATAATAAAGCCATACTTAAAGTCATAGAAAAGAACCAAAAAATTAATGAATTCAATGAATTGAGTATAAAGCAGGTCTTTTTCAAAATCAATAGTCAAGAATTAGCCGATATCATTCGCTCAAATTACTTTGGCAGTATACCTTTAGTTTTTTGTCACTTTGAGAGAAGTCATTATATAGTCGCTGAAATACCAATCAGAAATTTTGAAAACGAACTATTCAATTTTACTAAAGAAATCTATGAAATTGCAAAAGAAAATTTAGGTTGGAATAATCTGAATTATGAAAAACACAAAGTGCTTAAAAAAGAAATATTTATATTAAATGAAGAACCAAAAGCCACTATGACAGTGTATTCAATTCAACCCTAACTAATCGTTTTAATCACTCTTATAACTTGTCTTGCATTTCTCAATTGCTAACTCCTACTCCTTCACAAACTTCCCTATCTTAATTCCTTCTGAAGTAGTCACTCTCAGGGAGTAGATTCCTTTTACTAAATCAAATACCTCAACGGAATAACTAAGGCAATCCCTCCTATTAGCAGAAGAAGATTTTAACAAAAATTACACTATTCTATTTTTATTCCAAGCCTCTTATACTTATCATTGTTTTCAACACTTACAAACCTATATTTTGATTAGAATTATTCCCCTTTTACTCTTAATTTGTCTGTCCACCAAAACAATCAGCCAATCAGCTAAGTATGTCTACAGAAATGCTCAAGATTCAAGCTATAATTGTTATCTACTTGTAACTCCTGACACCTTAACTATCAACGGAGTCATAATTAGAGATTATACCCGATTGCCTGATACTTCTCGAAAAAGTCCTTATAAATGGGCTGACTTGGCTTTGGAAAAAGGATACGCAATTCTGTATACAACCTCTTTTACTTTTTTTCCAGGACTCTGTTACACTGATTCTTCTACTCAATTATTGGACGAAATAATAAACGAAGCTCTAGAAGAAAACAAATTACCAAGAGACAATCTATTTATAGGAGGAATTTCAGCAAGTGGCACCCGTGCTTTGCGGTATACGCAATATTGTGAGCAAGGCAGATCAATTCATAACATTAAAATAAGAGGCGTATTTTCAGTAGACTCTCCTCTGGATTTAGAACGATTTTGTTATTCTGCTAAGAACAACTCAGCTAATTTCAAAGCCGGTATGTTGTGGGAGGCAAACCTTATGAATAAAGTATTTCCTGAAAAGCTTGGTCCTATTGAATCTAACACTGAAAAGTATCGGAAAAATTCCGTTTTTTCTTACAAAGATTCGTTGGGAGGAAATGCTAAATACTTATTGAATGTTCCTACTTTATTTTTTCATGAACCAGATATAGATTGGTGGATAAAAGAAAGAGGTTCCGCTTATTATGACATTAATTCGTTTGATATAGCAGGCTTAGTAAATTGTCTCACTGTAATGGGAGGAACGAAAGTGGAACAAGTAATCACCACAAACAAAGGTTTTGACCGAGATGGAAAAAGAAAATGTCATTCTTGGACGATTGTAGACGAAGAATACCTAATTAGATGGATTATCAAACATTCCATTAAAAATGAATAGTTATTCCTTAGAAATAACTCTGATTTCTTTCGCTACTTCCCTAGCTTTTCTAATGGCAATATCTAGTTCGGGATTTACTACCGTAATGTGTCCCATTTTACGGAAAGGCTTAGTTTCAGTTTTTCCATATAAATGGACAAACACTCCCTCTTTCGTAATCACTTCCTCCATTCCTTGGTAACGGGGTGTACCTGTAAAACCTTTCTCCCCGAGTAAATTAATCATCACTCCTGGAGTAGTCAATTGAGTGCTTCCTAGTGGGAAATTCATCGCTGCTCGGTAGTGTTGTTCAAATTGAGAGGTATAGTTACACTCAATGGTATGATGACCACTGTTATGAGCTCTCGGAGCCATTTCATTGACTAATACACTTCCATCTTTCAAGACAAAAAACTCAACTGCCAATAACCCTACCATCCCCAATTTTTCAATAATTGATCGGGCAATTTCTTGTGCTTGGCTCTCAGTTTCTTGGCTCACTTTCGCTGGCGAAAATAAAAACTCAACCAAGTTGGCTTCTGAGTTAAACTCTTGTTCACAAGTTGGGTAAGAGACTACTTCTCCCTTCTCGTTTCGAGCGACTATAACTGAAATTTCCTTTTCAAAAGCAACCATGTCTTCAAGCAATGAAGGAACTTCAAAAGCCTTGCTTAAATCTTCAGGGGTTTTCAATATCTGAACTCCTTTTCCATCGTACCCTCCTTTTCTCATTTTCTGAACACTAGGAAAAGTCACTTTTGCTTTCACCTCTTCAAGGGAGTTACACAATTCAAAATCTGCTGTGGGAATTCCATTATCCCGATAAAATTGTTTTTGGACTCCTTTGTCTTTGATTAACTCTATCACCTTAGGTTGAGGAAAGACATTAATTCCTTCCTTTTCTAATTGGTACAATGCCTCAGTATTGACGTTCTCAATTTCTATGGTCAACACATCTACCGTCCTACCAAAATTTAAGACTGCTTCATACTCATTAAAATCCCCTAGAGTGAAAGAATCACAACAATTTGCTGCAGGACAAGTTGGGTTAGGGTCCAAAATATGAATGGGGGTTCCATAGTTCAAAGCCGATTGAATGAACATACGGCCTAGCTGTCCTCCTCCTAAAATCCCAAGTTTTGTAGTGGTAAAATTCATGCCGTAAAAGTACATATTTCTTTGTTAAGCCAAAAAAATGAAGGATATTTACCTTAATTAACTTAACAATGAATTTTAGTTACTGGGAAAAAAAATCGTGGTTTTCACAAGTAGATTTTACTGTAGTCGGTTCAGGTATCGTAGGATTAAACTGTGCCTTAGAATTAAGAAAACAACATCCCAAAGCATCTATTCTTGTCCTTGAAAAGGGAGTATTGCCGCAAGGTGCCAGTACAAAAAATGCTGGGTTTGCTTGTTTTGGAAGTGTTTCTGAACTCCTAGATGACCTTACTCATTCGACTGAATCAGAAGTAGTGGAATTAGTAAAACAACGAATTGAGGGACTCAAAGCATTACGAAGTTTAATTGGAGATGATCAATTAGGCTATAAACCTTGGGGAGGGTATGAACTGTTTTCGAACAACGATTCGGAAACTTATGAAAATTGCCTTGAAAAAATTTCTTATTTAAACACCCTCCTATTTCCCATTTTCGGAGAAAAGGTTTACGAGGAAAAACCCAACACTTTTGGATTTAACCAAATCAAACCATCTGTTATTTTTTCTCCACACGAAGGACAAATTGATACAGGAAAGATGATGAAGAGTTTACTACAACTCGTCAGGAGTAATGATATTCAAATTATCAATTCTACTTCTGTACAATCTTTTGAATCTAGTACTTCTCATGTTCTTGTAAAAACAGATAATAATATTGAATTTAAAACTTCACAGTTGTTTATTGCTACCAATGGATTTTCTAAAGAACTTGGAATAAAGAAAGTCTCACCAGCTAGAGCTCAGGTATTAATTACTCACCCTATTCCAAATCTGGCTATCAAGGGAACTTTTCACTTGGACAAAGGATACTATTATTTCCGAAACATCGATAACCGGATCTTATTAGGAGGAGGTAGAAATTTAGATTTTCACACTGAAAAAACGACCCAATTTGGAAGCACAGAACTTATCCAGTCTAAATTAGAAGAACTATTACATACTACTATCCTACCAAACACTCCTGTAGAAATAGATCACAGGTGGAGCGGAATCATGGGGGTTGGAGAACAAAAAAAGCCTCTTATCTCTTCCATGCATTCAAGAGTTCATTGTGGAATAAGACTGGGAGGAATGGGAATCGCTATAGGTACTCTTACTGGAAAAAAGTTAGCCAATTTAATTTCTAACTAGTAAACATCATCCCATTCCCATTCTGTAACAATGACCAAATACAGAGGGAACAAGATGATGTCTATGTCACAATTATTCTACTTCAAATTTTGAAATGCTCTTTGAGTCTACCTCAGCCCATCCATCTATTTCTGTCCAAGTTGCCATACAAATAGCCACTTCCCCATCAAAATAGATTTCTTTAAAAATAGTATGTCCATCTCTCTCTATAGCTAACATTCCATCTAAAGCTCCCTGCTCAAAAGCAATTCCAAACATAACACAATCCGATTCACTGTAATCAGCATTACGCTCATCATCTAATTTATCTAAGTCCTCCTCTACTCCTGGTAAAAACCCTGCTCTATTGTGCCAGGATTGAGCTTTAATCTCAACTGGAATTTGAAAATCAGTGTCTAGGTTTGTGTTTAATAATAAATCCGTTTTTTTTCTCACATTCGTATAAACAGGCTGTTCTCTAAGGATATCAAAAGTACTATCTATTGACAAAATGTAAGCCACTAGATCTACTTGGACCCATCCTTCCCATCCTCCTTTAACTACCCAGTTGTATTTAAAAGTGCTGTTTCTATTAGTTGCCCAGTCTTTGACTGCTTCTCTAAATTCGTTTAAAGTAAAATTCATCGTTTATATTGTTTAATTAGTTATAATAATCCTTGAGCCAAATCGCTGTTTGATTCTCTATTTCTGCCATTGCAGATATAAAAGTGATTCCATTATGCTTTTTGCTCATAGGCATCACACTGTCATTATTCGTTTTTCTCTTCGAAACAGTCAGTTCTTTCTCGCCAATTTCAAGCTTGGATTTACTTCTCTCTTTCAATTCGTCTACAGTAATACTCATAGCATGCCTAGTTAGGATATTTTTTAGTCAAACTACTGCTTGATCTTGTTAGAGATAAGCTAGTAGTTTTGTATAATAGTTTTTTGTTTATTTAACGGTGGTTTATGCCCATTTAATGGTATACAACTCAGCTATGTTGATGGGCCTTGTTTCTTTTCCATCAGATTCATCATTTGTCTTAGAAGTTGAACTTGGATCTATGACAGTTGCTGATCCAGCATCTCCAGTCAATATGGGTTTATTGATAGAAAAGTCCAAACCATGATTATGCTTAAGAAAAATATCTTTTTCTAACGTGCTTACTTTATCTCCTTTGACTGTTCCTTCTCCAGGCGATGTTCTATTAGCTGCATCAGGATCAATTCCTGAACCATTATCCCATGCCCTACTAAAATATCCTCCCATGTTAATTAAATAAGGATTATTGGTTTTGCTATTAACTCCAAATCGATTATTGATTACGGAGGCCAATCGTGTATATTCGCTAGTTAATTCAGCTAATCCATGACACAGAGATAATTCCTCTGCTGGAGCAGTTTCAGTAGCGATATATTGCTTTCTTTCTCCTATTACCCCCTCTACTATACAGGGCAAATATTTTATTGAAACTTGCCCTACATTTACATTACAGGTTGCTATATTCAATGTCATATAAGGTACTTTTGTTTCTATAGACAGAATTAACTGAGTAGCTAAATCATCAATTTTTAATTGTAGATTAAATTCTTGATCTCCCTTTGTTGATTTAGTAAGTCTAGTAGAATTGACTCCATCAGTTAAAGTGACACTCACATCACCTTCAATTCCCGTGTTTAGTACAATTTTCCCAGTTACTGTTTCTCCTATTAACATTTGTTTCCACCTTGGAAATTCATGAAGAGCTTGAGTAAAAGTCATTAATTCATTTCCTCCACTTTTTTTAATCACACATCGTTTGGTATCGTTATCAAAATCTATGGTCCCATTTGATCCAGCATCTGCGTATACCCAACCATCAGGAGTTCCATACTTGATAGTCCCTCCATTGGGAATTTGATTACTGAAATATTTAAAATCATAGTTATAAACTAAATTCCTTTGTTGCAAAGCATAGAGATAATCTTGAATTTCTATTGCTCCTAAATTCTCTGTATTTTCCATAGTTTGTATTGTTTTAAAATGGGCTACCAATTAGCAGCCCATTGTTAACTTAGAATCATCTAATTATTTATAGTGATGCAGGTAATTCTTTGATAAGGGAAGCTATTTCCTTATTCTTACTTGCATTAATAAATTTACCTGAACTTGAATCATACTTGATAGACATATCATCTACTCCACCTCCAAATCTTAACTCTGTCATTGGAGAAGTAACCGTAGTAACTACAGAATTACTCACTACTTGAGATTGTAACCAGATATATACAGTTGTGTAAGGAGTCATAATTGCTGTACTAGCCAATATTACTGGAGCTGCTGACACAGCGTTTCCTGCAATTTGAGTTCCATTAACTGTTGCATCTTGGTACAACCCAACTGTCATGTAAGGTTTATTGTTATACTTGTTTTGTAAAGCAAATGAATTTGCTTGACCTCCAGCTGTAGGACCTGAAATGATTGAATTTGGTTCCAAAGTATACAACTTATCCATTGCAGCACCTACTGGTACGCTTGATAGTTGACTTAGTTTTGCTCCATTTACAACTTCAGCAGTAGAAGCATAAATTCCATACTCTTCATCCCAATTTATTGTGTTTGCCTGCATTGCTTTGAATACTTGCCAAGCCACATTTGGGGCACCACCACCACTTGGTTTTGCAATTACAACATTTGATCCTGTTGCGTATAAAATTTTTAATTGTTCGTCTGTAAAAGCGACATCTAATTGATAACTAGCCATAATATATAGTTTTTTAAGTTTTCCTACTCTGTTTAAAATCGGTTTTTCGGATTCCACCCTTGTTCGTCATTTAGTTTGAAGCTTCGGTTAAATGAACAGTTCAAAGTAACCGACTATCTCTACTAAATTTTAGGTAGAAAACCACAGGTTTAAAAAAATGGGGGTAATTCTCCTAATTAAATAGGAGAAGGAAAAAGGAACTAAAAATTATGGCTAATTAATTGAAATTCTGGAAATCGTTAATGTCAATTAATTCATTTTGAACAGCCCATATAATAAGACCTGCCATGTTTTTAACTCCAGATTTTAACAACAAATTACTCCTGTGTCCTTCCACAGTTCTCACCGTGATAAAGAGTTTATCTGCTATTTCTTGAGTGGTATGTTGAAGACAAATTAAATTCAACACTTCTAGTTCTCGGGAGGTTAACTTTTCTTTTTCAGTAAATTTTGGCTGGGGAACTTTAGACGAAATTTGTTGTTTCATAATTTCAACATGTTCCTTCATAAAATAGAAATCGTTTTTTGATACTTCTCTTATTATGGTTGAAAGCTTATCTAAAGAAGTTCCTTTAGGAATAAAAGCATTCACTCCAGACTTTAACATGAATCCCATAAACGAAGTTTTATAATAAGAAGACATGATAATAATCTTAATTTCAGGATAGTTTTCTTTAAGAAGGGCTGTTACTTCCATCCCATTCATTTCTTTCATCTTTAAATCCAATAAAACAATCTCTGGATGGATGGACTGATCATCAAGGGCTTTGAAAAAAAGCTCTCCTCGGTTATAAACTCCCTCTACCGAAATCAAAGAATCTTGTTCAAAATAATTACCTAACAAATCGGTAATAAGTGCTTCATCATCTACCAGCGCTATGTTAATTCTTCCATCAGTTTCCATATTACAAAGATTTTAATTTCATTCCAAAAACTAGACGAGTACCACGATTTGAGGCCGTCTTATATTTAATTTTTCCTTTGAGGTTGTATGCCCTAAGTTTAATGTTATTAATTCCTAAACCGTTTTTAGTAGTATCTAATTCAAATCCTGTTCCGTTATCACTAATCATAAAAGATAAATAATTAGCCGTAATTCGTAAATAAATACAAATAACCGTTGCCTCAGAGTGTTTAATAATGTTGTTAAAAGCTTCCTGAAAAATCCTATATAATTGAAGTTTTACCTCTCTATTTATGTTAATGCCTTCGTCTACATTAGTGATGTATTGAATTTCGTACTTCAACTTAATCGGATGAATAAATTCTTCTATCAACTCTTGAAAAGGAGTCTCTGTCAAAAGAGGAGGGCTTAAGTCGTGAGAAATTTTACGTGCTACTGTAATACTTTCTTCCAATTGTTTATGAACTAATGTATTATTGCTAGTCTGTTCAGTCGAAAGGATGGCTATATTTAATTTAGAAATCAAACTGTCATGTAGCTCTCTCGAAAAGCGTTTTCTCTCCTTTTCCTGTACCTCTAAGTTACTAATCAGCATATCTTTTTTGTGCTTTATTTCTAATTCAAATTGCTTCGTTTTTTCACTGACAATGTTATTCACTGAAACTCTACTAATTGCCACAATAATGGAAATAAGGATGATAATCCCGATAATAAGTAAGATTAACGTCAATATGTTTATTGTAATAGCTGTACTCACCTTTGGAAAGATCTTAAAAAGACAAAATAGAACAGAAAACAGAATGCATTGTTGACACCCCAAATTATATATGCTGATTCTTTACTCAAACTCGGTAGTTGATTCATAATTGAAAAAGCTACTAAGGATACTGAAGAGTAAAACAGTATTATTAAATTTATTTTATCAAAATGCGAACTAACATTTATTGAATTACTTTTTAATTGATTCACTAAATAAAATCCACCTAAAAGAATAATCCAGAGGTTTGAAATTGATTTTCCATATACCTCATTTAACCCTTTTTCTATATACACCCAACCTTCATATAGAATATACCCTCCTAATACCATCGCTATGATAAAAATTACTTGCCTTAGGTATTTTATTTTAAATTGTTCTAATGCAGTTTTATACATTAGACTTAATAAGAACACCTCGAAGAAAGAATAAATATAAAACAGGAGAATGTTTGACAAACTACTAAAATGAATCAAATACTGAGAAATCAATTCATTAATCAATACTAAGCACAGATAAATAGTTAAAATTTTTATCTCTTTTGATGAATTAATCCAATTTTTTATAGCAAAAACAATAGCAACTGCTAAAGTTACTAGTGATAATACTCTTGTTA